ATTGATTCCAATACCACAAGGTTAATAAAAAACACTCTCAATAGACTCACAATAGAATGTGATTTTCAAGATGATTTTCGATACTTTTGACAACCCTATAGTGTCTCCCTGTGTAAATGTTGGACATTCCAGCGTGCGTCACTGGTGGGGTGCTGTAGCCCTGTGTCTGGGTGGCTCCTCTCTGCACACTGGTTTGTTTGGCTGTTCCACTCGCCTGTTCAGAGACAATAAACATGGAGGAGCTTTGCTTTGACTCTGTGTTGTTGTAGCTTTGAGGCACTGCCTGCAGCATTTGGAGCACCACAGGACATGAGCTGACAGAGGCAGAGGAGGGCCACAGAGGTGAGAAAGGCCCCTGGCATGTTCTGTGGCACTGACCCAGACAGTGGCCTGGTGCTTTCTATGGGTCATGACTGCATTCTGTTTAACGTTCCATTAAAGCGGTTCATGCGTTGGTATTTTTGATCTTCTGGGCCATCTCCTCTGCATCCTCCCCTCTGCTCCCTCTGACCTTCTCCTCTGCATCCTCTGACCCTCTGCATCCTCTGACCCTCTGCATCCTCTGACCCTCTGCATCCTCTGACCTTCTTCTCTGCTCCGTCTGACCCTCTGCATCCTCTGACCCTCTGCATCCTCTGACCTTCTCCTCTGCTCCGTCTGACCCTCTGCATCCTCTGACCCTCTGCATCCTCTGACCTTCTCCTCTGCTCCGTCTGACCCTCTGCATACATCCATACATACAATGCATTTGTTAACATGCGCTGAAAGATTTTATAATGTAGCTATGACCACACAAGTACAAACTCTTGATGACATATACTTTCAAATGAACAGACCTGTGTTTTTCTGTCTTGACACTCTGGTGCTTTCATAAGAAGTGCATGATAAGAACACAGGTCTATAGTGTACACTGAACCTGTATCAGACAACATGATTGTAATTTGAAAAATAGTCTGTATGATAATAAAGATTTTAATGTAATATTTGGAGATTTTGACCAACTAAGAGGTTCAGCATGTGCAGTTCAAGGACAGTGGTTAACGACTATTTTGATTTGAGAAGTTTGTATTCCCTGTATCCATGGTGACCTTGCATGGAGCTAACTATGCTAACCAGCTAGTTCTGAAAGGCTATAGACATTCCACACCAAATACAGCAGATGGGGGGAATGTTCCGTCCTATCACTGATAAGAAAGTGGAGAGGGAGAGAGGCTTAGGAGAGGGTTTCATGTTGTTTGTCCAGAGTTCACCTGGCTCCCTCTGGAGGCTGCTGTGATGTCCAGACACTTTTGTCCTGAGGACTTATACTCTCCTCAAACTGCCCTGACACTCGGTCTGGTGACTCTGCTTCCTGAGCTGCACTGAGACATTTGTTTGAGCTTTCTATTATGATTGTAGAAGATAAGAGGCATGAGACTGGAATTCTAACACAGGAGACGTTTATTTACACAGATTCAGCACATGAATCCTCAGGACACTGCCATGTGTATGTCCTGTTCACTGGATTAGTCTTAAAGTGCTGAAATAAAGGTTTGGTGAGTGACCTTCATAGAAATACTGTCAATGTTAGCCATATTCTTAGTCTATATAGTCTGTGAAAATGCCAGGTTACACCGCTCCTCCTCCTGCTCTGCCTTTTTCTGCCTTTGATACATCCAATCGTTCTGGTGAAATATGGCCGATGACTGCCTGGACAATGAACGCCTGGTCATTGTTTGACTAGGTGGTTCAATACAAATTCCACCTCTCCTACGCTCTTTTATTCCTCAGATGTCCATTAGGACCCTTCCTCCTCTCCTCCTCCTCCTTTCCACTCAGAGTGACCTCTGAATGTAATAATGTCTGTTACATCCACACAACTAAACTTGCTCTGTTACTCCTGATTATGAGCTCAGGCTCTGCACACAGAGGCCCATGTGACCTGCCTCACACAGGATTACTGTACTTTATCATACCTCCAACTTCTGCATCCATGAAGGTGCTGCTCATTGTGAATGACACAAAATCTTTTAGATCCAGGGTCAGATATGATCATAGCCCCTTACCAGTCTGTTCTCTGCTCCAGCAGGTCCCTGCAGCCTGGAGCTTTGCACACTGTTCATGTGGAGGTCTGTGTTCAGCTCCAGCAGCAGAAGGTGACCAGACTGTAGTGGAGAGGCAGGTCATCAGCAGAAAGCAACCACAGAGAAGAGGCTCAGGGCTCCCTTTGGAAACATTTAAAACATGCTGAACGTGGAAGAGTATGTTGACCGTAGATCTCCACAGTATTGGATCATTTATATGTAGAGCACTAGAGCACAAGTGTAACTCTGATACACGGCTGTGTACTGTGTAGACAGAGTGTGGACATTTCAACTCTTTGTGTTTGCTGTGTGTGTAAGAGCAGGGCTCAGCACTGGCTTTGGTCTGACCTGACCTGGACTGAGGGGGAGGTGAGTTTGTGGGAATATTTAATATTTTTTTTTGTTTAGTTTAGATTTTTTCAGTCATCGTCTAGATTTTCAACTACTATCCAAAAGGCTTTAGAAATTCTACAGCTCTGGGAATGTTGGGAACACGTTTGTGTCATTGTAAAAGACTTTACAACTTCTCAAAAGATTTACAATAGTCATTACGTGAAGCGCCTGTTTAAGAGCAGTATTCCTGTGCCCCTGGGCAAACACTCACAGCTGGACACAAACGCACTCCACAATAGTCCACAAGGACCTGGACTGGGGGACCTGAGGAGAGAGGTCTGAAGGCTCTTCTGAAGGTCAGGAGTGTCAGAGGGACAAGGTCTCATAAACACTACAGGAGGAGATACCTTTTCATTCTGCCTGTAGACGAGGTGAAGTCATGGTTTTAACCCTTTTAGAGGAGTTATTAACAGTGCAACAATTCACCATCACATTTTTAAATAATAATAATAATAAACCTGGATCATTGTCATTTCCCATGGCTCACAACCTAATTTTCAAGATTTACTGCTGTTGACAGGGAAGATAAGCGGGCGCAGTACTTGAGCCAGGAGAGGTTAGTATGGAGCACCAGAGACTGTTCTAATGGGCACGTATTATACTGTTCATGTTAATAATACTGCATTAGTCTTACATAGCGCTTTTCCAGACAATGTGGTACATTCTTCACGCTCCACATAGTGGTAGCACTGGTGGTGTGTGGAAAGTCCTTAGGCCTGTTTTTCTCTCCTGAAAATGACCCACAACACATCTGTAGAGTCACTAGTTTAGGATCCCTCAGAAAATGACATGTGCATCACTTTTCACTGGGACTCAAAGCTGTGGCGGTGGGACACGATCAAACCAGTGAGATACGGCTCGACCTGAGATACTGCCTCTGTAAGTGAGCAGAAACAGGCAGAGACGCTCCCCCACAGTCAGGCTGCAGGTTCGCCTCAATCAGGCCTTCATTTCTCAGGGCATTTGGGAGTGTGTGAGCAGGTATTTATCAAATTGCAGGGACTAAACTCTCCATATATACTCACATCACCTGCCACGCAAGCCAGGTCCCATGACCATTATTATTAGATCAACAACATGCTTTAAAGTTCAGATATGACTTTAAATAGGTTATAAGTGAGGTTAGGATCAGTCTCAAGGAAATGAATGTCCCCAAAATGCATGTAAAGCCAACCTGTGCGAGTAAGAGAGTGTATAGGTGTGTGCACGAGGGAGTGCACGTATGAGGGAGTGTGTGTGCACTGTGAGTGTGTGTGGGTGTGTTTTATAGACGTGTGCACAAGAGTGCATGTGAGTGTGTAGGCTTGTGCACGAGCGTGTGCATGTGAGTGTGTAGGCGTGTGCACGAGCGTGTGCATGTGAGTGTGTAGGCGTCTGCACGGGCGTGTGCATGTGAGTGTGTAGGCGTCTGCACGGGCGTGTGCATGTGAGTGTGTAGGCGTGTGCACGAGCGTGTGCGTGTGACACAGTGGGCTCTGTGCAGCGGGGGCAGGCGCTCAGCCAGCTCAGGTTAATGCAGTGGCTGTTCGCTCACAGACGGCCCTTTCCTCAACTTTCCATGTTTTGTGTACAGTGTGTGACTTTCCATGTTTTGTGTACCATGTGTTTACAGTGTGTGACTTTCAAATCCCATATTTTATGTGGTTATGAATGTGATTAGAGCTTAGTATTTTTATCACTAATAACATTTTCATCATTTATTTTAGGCAGAGAGCACCCTTAAGCTGTCCATCAAGAGACCCATCAGGTGTTGCAAGCTTCATCTCAATGCTGTGAAGACCTGAGAGAACACAGACTCAGGGCCCTCCACAGCTGCTCTGATGGGTGCTTGCTCCTGTGGGTGCCTATTTGGAGCCCGGTGGACTAGAGTGCTAGAGGGCTGGGTCCTTGCAGACCCACCTTCAGGGACATTAATCTGGCTCCAACCTGTCAAAAGTAGAGCCACATAGTCTATAAATACATTTCTATTTTACTAACAGCATGTTGTACTTGCTGCTTTGCCTAATCATAATCTGAACGTCGTGTGGACATAGCAGTGTAACAGTGACTGTGATATTACAGTGTAATGTATCTTCAGCGTTAGGATTGTGTACTCGAGGAGTTATATTTGTATGGAAATACTTTTGCTGAACTCAAACTCAACAGCCGTGTGTAAAGGTTTCTGTGAAGCCCTGGACATAATCTCCCACATGCACTAACACGCACACATGCACGCGCCCTGGCCTACAGCACATGACCTGACCCCTCTTGTTCAGCCTGTCATTAGTGGCCCCGCTGTGTTATGGGAGCACGGTCACTGACTCCAGGCTCACGGCTCATTTCTAGAGGATCTGTCAGCAGCAGCCTCAACCTGACGTCAGCCAGCACAGCACAGATAAGATTTGAAAACTTTCACTGGACACTTTTCTGTGTACACCTACTATATCACACATGCATTTCTGTTATGTTAATTCAGTTATTATTTGCTTAATGTGAACAAAGGAAGAATCTCCCTGGACAGTGATCAGTGGGCAGTGAGTGGACAGAGGCAGTGGTCAGTTCGTGTCAGTAGTTTAATGCCAGTAGCTTACAACAGCTTACAACACAATATAGCCCTGAGACAGAGGAGTCATACACAGAAGGCACTCATAGTCATTCACTCATCAGCATACATTCATTTATTCATATATTTCTAAAAACAGTATTTACACATCTGAGTCACTGTGCCATGAGGACGAGGCACTGGTTCGGAGCCTATCTCGGACTGTAGGAGCTGGACTTTGCACTGGCCTTGGGGGGGCGGACTGTGGGATATCTTGGACTTCATGAATGGATTCTGGACAGGAAGATGGGGACGGTAGACTTTGTTGGTTTGACCTCAGACTCCGATCTTCAAATAATGGACTCCAGGATTCTAGATTTAAAGTCTTCTTCTGGACTTTAGGATTCTGGACTTGATTCTGGCAGATGGATTTCAAACTTCCTGATTGTAGACATTAAAGGTTCTATATTACCAAAACTACTCCTGTGACCTTAAAAGAAAACATACTCGTTGTGTTTTGTTTCATTCACACGTTTGATAGTGCAGCAGATAAGTGAAAAAAATTTTCACTTTGGTATGAAAGCATGAAATGTGGCACATATACTCTCTAAGGGCCACTATTTTGAAAAAAAGGCATTGGCCACTCAAAAATTCAATATTGCAGCCATTTTTAAAGATGGTCACCATTGCTATCTAACTATCTATCTAGATAGTTAGATAGCAATGGTGACCATCTTTCAATTGCTATCTAGCAATGGTGACCATCTAACACAGAGTCCTGCACCAGGAACCCAACGGGCTGAAACGGGCAGGTTTTAACAATGTGGAATATTACGGACAGGTATACAGGAGGGTAGTGATTATACATGGACGGGTCAGGTAAATCAAATGAACAACAAACGAGAGAAAAATCCTTGACACACGTCCAGGGTGTCGGTTGCCCTGGAAACGAGTGACATTTCCCGGTCTTTTCCTGGAATAATGTCAGACCAGGCTGAGAAAGTGACTTTAGTGTATTTTTTTACATAAAACCATCAGCGATCAGCAAGGGTGATCCACTCAGCAACTGCGCTCCTGGTTCAGTCCTGGTTCAGTCCTGGTTTAGTCCTGGTTTAGTCTTGGTTCAGTCTTGGTTCAGTCTTGGTTTAGTCCTGGTTTAGTCCTGGACTACTGGGCTGTCGGACTAAAGGGCTGACCCTGATTTATCATGGGCACGAATGGGTAACGCGTGTAATGTTAACATGTCTGTGTGGGTTTGGATTTAACTTTGATCTAATCCCAGGTGAACGGGCACAGGCATGGTGCTGTACTGCGCGGGAGTGGGCGAGTGTGGGCCGACAAAAATGGACCCGTACAGGACTCTGATCTAACTATATATATTACTCGCTAATTGATGAGGGCCTGTTAGACACATTTGGGACACAAAACTTACCTAAACTATTATCACTATTAAACAAAACCTTCCTTAACACATTCAAATGAGCTCTGACAGAAATGGTGGTCATCTTGAATTTTTGAGTGGCACACACCTTTTCCCTGAGAATGTTCCTTGTAGAATGTTTGTACCAGTCTTGATGATTGCATCACCATTTGATCAACTGATGTAAGAATTTAAGAGAAATGGCAGCCATCTTAAAAAATGGTGGTGGCATCTCAACCGTCAATGGTTGTTATCTTGATTCTTTAAGGGACAATCACCATTCACTAAAAAATATTTTTAACAGAGTATTTTCACAAATGTTATGCCTACATCACAGTTTGAGTGTTCGACATAATGAGCATTTGACAGAAATAGCGGCCATCTTGAAAAATGACTGCCATTTTGAATTTTGACCAATGCCTTTTTCCCAAAAAATGACCCTTAGAGCCAAATTTCATGCTTTTATACCAATTTGAACAATTCTCTTGAAATATTCAATTAACCTGCTGCACTATGAGTAAACCTTTATTATTAGCCAGTCTACATCTTCAAAGCTCAGAATACTCTGTTCTACCTTATTATGTCATGAAGTGGTTTTTAAGTTCATGCCTACATTTTACCTTTTTTCAGTAGAAATGGGCAATTCCAGGGTTGAAATCATCCAAATGATTCTAGTGAAGAAAATGTATGGAGTTTAAAAACACAATGGAGCACTTGCTGTGTCACCACATGACATCACAAGGTTGAACAGAGTGTATTCTATTTGAGAGAGGAACACAGCCTAAATATGCAGGGCTTGTGTGTTAAACGTGTGTGAATGGTCTGTTTGTGATGAGGAAACAACAGAGACCAGAAATTAGCATAATACGGGGCCTTTAAGACGCTTGACCTGAGGATTCGGATGGTGAACCCCCTGACTCAGACCTTGAGAATGATTTTTTTTGGGTTCCAGACTTTCAGAACTTCAGGACTCTGAACTAGAGGATGGTGGACTTCAGGAGGCCGAATAGCTGGAGCGTATGGAGTCCTCTCTAAGCTGGCGCCTCTTGCCCACCTCACACTGGTCTCTGTGCGTCCGTCGCTCAATTGTGATCTTAAAGTTTTTCCTGCAAAAGATGTAAAAGACACAACATATTAGTGATCTACAAACTGGATGCTACTCTAGACAGCTACATACATGTACTGAAAATATGCATTCAGAATACTCATTTTGAATAACTGTATTCTGATACAGTTTTCAAAGGAATACACTGCAGTACTTGATCATGCAACTGAAGCTTCTAATGGCAGCATTAGTGAGAAAAATAGAAATTACAGGTGCAAACACTATGATATAAAGCAACTCTATGTGAAAGTATTACAAATACAGTTCTCTGATTGGACCATCGTTCAGAATATGTTACAAAATACATTTAAAAAAGACACTGCAAACACCAAAGAGATGGCGGTAGACTTTAGGAGGAGCCGGTCACAGCTGCAACCTCTGACTATTGAGGAGGACACTGTGGAGGCTGTGCAAAGTATTTGGGCCTATATCTCAACCACAAATGGGACAGGTCTGAGAATACAGATCTGCTCTACAGAAAGGAACAGAGCAGGCTGCACTTTCTGAGAAGGTTGAAGTCCTTTAACATCTGCCAGGTGGAAGCCTCAAGAAAGTGGACACTGTGCGGTTGGATAAGCTGGTGAGGACGGCAGGATGTGTAGTGGGTGCAGATCTTGACTGAGTCACATCTGTGGCTGAGAAGAGTGCCCTAAACAAGCTCCTGTCCGTCCTGGTTAAACCCCAGCACCACCTGCACAGCACTGTTGCCAGACAGGAGAGCACCTTTGAGGACAGGCTATTGTCTCTGTCCTGCTCCACGGAGACACTCTGGACTTTTGTCCCACATGCCATATGACTGTACAACACATCCCTACAGCTGATGAATGTAAGAGGATGGACTACTAACTTTAAATATATTTTCTATCTTGCTGTTTGTTTCTATGTTGCTGCTGTTGAACTTTATAAAAGAATGAGAACTTGACACATCACTTTCTTGAAATGAGTGCACTGGAGGAGGGGGAACAGCCTCAAGACATGAACTGAAAAGAATCCCACACACTGTTCTACTTTCAGGCCATCATCAGGCCTGACATCAAGGATCATTCCCCCACCCTCATCCCTCATCCTCACTTGTCTGATTAACCACCTTCATCCTAACCTGTCTGGCTGACACCCTGTCCTCTTCACATGCTTGGTGGACTGACTTCTTCAACCCGTCACTCATCTGGATGATTTCCCATCTTTCCCCACCTGTCTGGATGACTCTCTCACCCCTCACCTGTCAATATGACTTTTTCCTTCTCCTCCTCACTTGTTTGGGTGACTTCTCCACCCCCTCACTTGTTGACAAAAATGTATTTACCTTAAAAAGTAGAACGCCACCAGCAGAGTGACTCCCAAAACTGCACCCACGATGACTCCGGTGAGGGCAGAGACTCCAAGCCCACCTATGGAGACAGTGGACAGGTCAGACTTGGACAGCAGGAGACCTGTGGGTGACCAAAGGGGGACTAGACTCACAGGGTTTGTCAGGGGTCTCTGGTGGTGGGTGCACACGGCCTCTCAGTGTGAAATGCTCTCGGTTGAAGGCCGGCAGCATCTGAAAAGTCCCATTCTCCCCAAAGTAACTGGCCACTGTCTGGGAAAGGCAAACACAATCACAGTGATGGTAAGTAGTGGACAATTGTGGTCAGCAGTGGTCTGGAGTAGTCAGCAGGGGTCACTGTTCAAGAGTGTTAAGCTGGAGACAGATGTGGTCAGTAGTAGTCAGTAGTGGTGGTCAGAGGTTGTCGGTGGTGGTCAGTAGGGGAGTAGTGCTTAACGGTGGTAAGAGGTGTCAGCAAGAGTCAAAGTTCAGGAGTGGTCTGCAGGGGACAGCAGTGGTCAGTAGTTGTTAGAGGTGGTGAGTAGTAGTTAACGGTGGGTCCGCAGTTGAGTATTGTTCAGTGGGTGCCATTTGTGGTTAGTGGTATTTAAGTGCCCTCAGCGGTGGTTAGCAGTAGTGGTCAGTCAGGGCAGTGGTCTAAAGCTCTCTGGTGGTCACCAGTGGCTATTGTAGCAGGAGATAGCAGGTGATCAGTAGTTTTTAGTGGTGGTCAATAGTGGTCAGCAGGCGTCACTGTTCAGGAATGGTTAGCAGGAACAGCAGTGGTCAATAGTTTTTGCTGGTGGTCATTAGTGGAGTAGTTGTCAGCAGTTGTGGTCAGCTCTGGTGGTCAGTAGTGGTCATTGCTCATAATTTGTTAGCAGGAGACCGGGGATCAGTAGTTTTTAGTGATAGCCAGTAGTGGAGTAGTAGTCAGGGGTAGTCAGTGATGGTCAGTGATGGTCAGTGGTAGTCAGTGCTGGTCAGCAGTGAACATTTTTGTGCTGGTGCTACCTCGAATGTCCCTGCCTCAGTGTTTGTCATGGACATAAGGGAGAAGTCCCCATCTCTGTCCCCATTCGCATCTATGGATACTGGGCCAGCAATACCTGCACATAAAAGAAGAAAGTTTCTGTCATCCAGACTAAAGGCCTTTTGTGTTACACATGAACAGTTTCAGCATATAAAGCAGGTGCATGCATGGGTCTGTTGGTAGCACACTGACCCTCAAAGGTGCGGTTCCACATGCGGGAGATGATCTCGGAGGCGTTGCTTTTGCTGTGGCCACTCTGCAGCGTCTCCTGCAGGGCAGTGGCATAGAGCAGCAGGGCGTCATGGAAGCCCTCCATGAACAGGTTAATCTGAAACACCACATATTGGGTGTGAGGGAACAGAGGGCCTTCAGGAAATGTGAAGCATTATGGTCCAATGACCAGGATATGGAGCATTTAAAGTTTCATAATGTAACATTTCAGGTGGGGGACCTGCTATCTGCTTGTCTCCAAGGACAAGCAGGTGGCATCAGAAAAGTTACATAGTGCACCTTTAAAGTTGTGCTATTTGATTTCGCAGACCCCCTGCACAAATAATATAAATTAATATGGAAGATCATGTGACCAGATGTGGAATTAAAGCTGCTTCATAGTATGTGCTGTCCACAGTTACAAGTGTTTGTCTGTTGTTTGTGTCAAACCTGCAGAGAAAAAATGTGTATATAGTTTATAGATTTTAATATATTTGAATTCAAACATAGCCTATGGTTTTAATTTTATCCATATTCAGTGATATTTTGTTGTTTGTTTACATTGAACTGTCATTTTCTATGGTCACATCTTAAATTAATTCTTGTGGGTTGGTGTTAGAAAAAAAAGATTTCATCAGCAAACAATACAGAGTAGACACTTGACAGAAATCATTCATATAAAGAATAAACAGTTTGGGGCCCAATCTAGATTCTTGTGGAACTCCATAGTGAATAGTTAGGAACTTAGAACTGTAGTCCCCCAGATGATTCTGAGCCACTGTAACTGATGCCCTTAATCCCATATTGCCCCATTTTCCTGAATAAAATGCCAAGATGTGTCTGGAGCGCTGCTCAAATCCACAAACACTTCCCGTATACTATGTATGCCATAGTACTCTCTGTAGTATTCAGATTGAAGTACTCACTCCATCATGGAGGCCTGCGTGCCTCAGGGCCTCTCTCATCTCCAGGGTGAAGTCCTCAAACTGTGGCTTGGTGCTCTTAAGCAAGGTGAGAGTGTTTAAAGAGCTGTACGCCTGCATGGCCTCTGCATCGTGGGAGTCATCCCGCCGCCACCAGCCATCCCCTGGACACAGAGCAGAGACAGAGGTCAGGGGTCAAGAGCCAGCACAACCAGACCTCGGAGTGGCTTCATATCATCAACAGTTACGCTATCTTTATTTTATTGTTACTGTTACCTGGTTTGGCAAATTTTTGACAGCAACGTTTTATGCTTTTGAGTAGAATGCTATTTACTTTTAGTCAAGATCTCTTGCTGTCTCTTTATCATCCAAACATGCAGATGATATGGACGAGATAATAATAACACTCAACACTGATGACCCTATTTAGACTAACTTTATTGATCCACAATAAAGAGAAAAGACATAAATGGTAATACAAATTCTATAAGTAGCAAAAATAATAAGAGACAAATGTGTCAAATAAGGCATAATTATATAAATACATAAAAATACAAGAGGTTCATAAAGAAAACAGAGCAAAGATGATATGATGATTGACAGAACAAGGAGTTATTTGTTACATAATGGTGAGTTGTTGTGCAGTTGTAGGGAGTAATATAGTCTGAATGTAGTCCTGTATTTGTACCTGTGACTGTCTGAGTGGAGCTGTAGGAGCCTGTTGGAGAATGAACTCCTCTGTCCCTCTATAGTCTGGTGCAGTGGGTGAGTTGTTGTACACTTGTAGGGAGTATTATCTAATACATAAGGGTGAGTTGTTGTATAGTTGTAGGGAGTATTATCTGTCCCTCTATAGTCTGGTGCAGTGGGTGAGTTGTTGTTCACTTGTAGGGAGTATTATCTGTCCCTCTATAGTCTGGTGCAGTGGCTTTGGATCAGCATAAAATAATTAAATAGAAGAAGGTGACAAATGTAAAAGGGTCAACATATAATTTTTGGACTGTACCAAACCAAATAAAACCACATTTTGGGTCAATAAAAAAAGAGCCTTTAATCATGTGTGTTTCGATTCATGTCTGTCCATATCTGTCCATTAACATGCACTGTCCCAATCAAATAAATGCATACAAAAGTCTCTCCCACAGGCCCACACCACAGACTGCTCACACTCTACATGCTTCTGCTGTAAGGAGTATTATAGGTCTTATGACATATACCAAGATAACAAGGACTGAGCTGGCACAGAAACGCAATCTCTCTATGTCAGGTTATACTTCATAATGATACACGCACACATTTTGGACTTCCATAATTTGCAGGGACTGACTCCTACGTGATCTAAAACAGTGATTCTAGGGCTCTCGGTGGGACCGGGGCTCGTGGTGGGACCGGGGCTCGTGGTGGGACCGGGGCTCGTGGTGGGACCGGGGCTCGTGGTGGGACCAGGGCTTATGGTGGGACCAGGGCTCACTGTGACGCCGGGGCTCGCGGTGGGGCTGTTCATGGTTGTTGTTGTGTGCTAGCTTACCATAGGAGGAGGCGTTGAAGAGCTCGATGTTGAAGAAGATGTAGCTTCCGTTGGTCAGACTGTGTCTGTGAGCAGCCAGCATCACGTCACGTATCCGGTCTGCCCCCATGCACATGATGACCACTGCAACACACAGTCAGTGATTGCCACGGCAACACATGCATCACCACGGAAACACAGGCTACTTCTACTTACGACCACAGAAAGTAGTGATCAGTAGTGATGTGTTGTGATCTGAAAATTGCTGTTTAAATAGTCACTATGATCCAATGACAAAGACTGCGTTTTCTGAAATTCCTCATACATAAATATATCACTATCATCTCAGACACTCTTGTCCCTGAACATTCCAAATGCAATCACAATGCCACTGACCATGTCACATCACACCATGCTCTTTTGGGCTTCCACTTATGCCACAATCAAGGCTACTGACTTCAAGTCCTTGTGGGTACAATATTTTGGCTGTACTCCATTCAGTACTGGCGAGTCTTTTGTGACTTTTACATGTGTCCATACACAAAACCTGATGTTTTACTTTCATTTAATGACTTTTCAATAGTAATTACCTAAAGACCAAAGGTATGGACACATTCAACATACAGCAGCACCGCATTACTAGACAATCACAACAGACCTGTTAATACTGAATGGAGTGCAGCAAAAACTTAATTTGGGCACAAATGTGAGCTCATGGCTTGTGTGCTGATTTGGTTACTAGCCTGTATAATATGACTACACAGAACAAACTGAAGATTAAATAATAATAAAGAGTTACAGTTTGGCACTGTTCGATCATTTGAGTTTTGAGTATTTCTGTTTTAAACATAGGCCTCACGTTCTGAATAGCACTTCTATTGTCAGTGCACACTCTGTGAGGATGCAGTCACAACAGTAGCACATTATGACATAGGCTACAATTTCCACATGTTTATATATGAAGGTTTCTTTACGCACAGAGCCGCGTGATCTCAGGACACAGCTGACAGTGAGTGGACAGTGGCCTTTAGGAGCCACCTCTGCTCTCTCTGTGAGAGCATTCTGTGAGACGCGTTCACCTCACTCACACTGATGCTTAACCTGATGCGTGTCAGTGGACAGCAGCGGTCACGCGTACACCAGGACCCCTGGGTGAGGTGCTATACCCGGACCCCGGGTGAGGTGCTATACCCGGGTAAGTCATACCTTCAGTGTCGGAGATGCTCTGCACCAGGTCCTCCGTGTCTGGCCTCTCGTCCTCGTACAAGTGGTATGTTTTCACGTTGAAGCCGCTCATCAGGTGGTAGACGCCCTCCAGAGTGAAGTAACAGTTCCGCTCCTGACGGTCGTCCTCGTAAATGAGCAGCGCGGAGCTCCACGAGAAGTGTTCGAACATCGCGTTGAACGTCTCGGCCATTTTCACGTAGGATGGAGCGATGCGCGTGAGGTGAGAATACTCGGAACTCTTGTCGCTGAAACCTGTGGCCAGCGCACCTGCGGAGATGACCGGGATGTGCCAGTGGGACGCTAGGCGCACGACTGCCGCAGCCTCGTACTCGCACACCGGCCCCAGGATCACGTCTGGCCGCCGTGTGCACGACCTGTCCACCAAGGAGAAGAAGGCTGCGTTCATACAGTCGGACTGCTCAAAATGGATGTTGAAATTCATCTCGGAGAGCGGTCCTCCGTGCGCTTTGAGTCTCTGCTGTGCGTAAAGGATCGCCGGTGCAACTCTGGCGCGGGAGAAAAGGTATGAGTTATTCTGGGGGAGAAACACCAGCACGTCCACGTCCTCGCAGACGCACGGAGTGAGGAGGACAGCGCTGAGAACCCCCACAAAGTACGTGAGGACTGCGTTAGAACGCATCTTCAGGCGCACAGCAAACCGCGCTCTATGTGTTCGAGCTGTCCGCACCTGGCTGTGCACGCGCACAAGGAGCCTGTTCCGGAGGCGCGCAGGTCAGCATGTGGGTGCCATGACTCCCGCTGTCCCTCTGCCGCTGGGCTCCACTGAGAAGTGAGTTCAGGCGGCACACCACACACGAAGCCTCGGCTCCTGGATTGGACACATCTTTTCAGGATTATTACTGCGTCATTTGAGCGCTTCCCACCTCCTTCTTAAAGTGACATGGCAACGGCTGTACCGCCCACCAATAAATGCAACAGGCTGCCCGCATCCGAGCGACCATCTCTGGGGACATACTCTCATTGCGGCCGAACTGTGCTCTCCTCCGTGCTGCGGGAAAACCTTCCCATCAAAACCCTGGTCAGACTGGATAGACTCAGACTGGAGGATAGAGTCAGACTGATGGGACTGTGGGGTCACGTGATGTCAGAGGTTAGGGTTCAGAGTGGAGGAGATGGGGAGCTCAGAACTCTGCAGTATAACGTTTTAAAACTGTCAAAATGAAAGAGTGGGGGCCATACTTGTACGGTGATGGTCTGACAGGACTGTGGCTTAAAGACCCCAGGTTCAACATGGAGCTTTTTATTTGGACTGGGTCATTCTTTCAAGTTTGTACTGGCTCATATTATTTGAGATAATGACACCACCACAGTCTTTCACCTGATCACAGAGTATATTTAGATATTAGGAGTAGAATAGGTCATATTAGTAAGAAGACGTGCTTCAGAGAAGGCCACAGATGTGACATATCTGCTGCTGTGTGTCTGTCCAACTGCAGCTCCACTGTCTCATGTTTGGCTTATCAGAGCCTGTGTTTACATCCACACCAAAAATCTGATCATTATGTGATTTCTGGAGCTATCAAAATACTGAAATGTCATTTCAATAATCATGCTACATCAGAAGCCTAATCATTCTTTGTTATGTTTTACACCGGTGTTTGACTGGCATATCCAGAAGCAGAGATGGGTAGAGTAGACAAACATTGTACTCATGTAAGAGTAGCGTTACTTTAAAATAGTATTACTCAGTAGAGGTTCAGTAGTTAGTATTTAAGTAGTAAATCTAAAAAATCACTGAGGTGAAGAAATCACAAGTTAAAAGGTGTGAAGGAAAAGCACTGCTCAAGAAAGAGTAACTTTTTGGAAATGATGCAAAAAGGGTCAAGTAATGTGGTAAAGACAAAAATGAAAGAGTAATTTCCAGATGCAGCAGTAAAAACCCATTCAATAAAGTACACATGAAGTTTTCATGTTTTTCTAAGTGTGACTTGGTTTGGTGGATAGTACCTAAATATTTATCACAGCTTTACATCAGTTAAATGGAAGTTTGTGGGGGAAAAATTAGAAGAAAAGTATAAAAATACAGGAAGTAGCATTGAGTTCTAAAACAGAATCCCTCTGTCCCTGTCGTCAACACAGAAAACTCTGAAATACAGAGACAATTTACACACAAGGAAAATATTATTTCTGACAGTTGAATTCTTCATTTAACAAGTAAAGGTGATACAAATAAATGTTGTATCACTCCAACCAGAACTACTGTGTCATTTAGACAGTTGTGACCGTTGTTTACATTATGGTTGCTTGATAACAGTTATGGAATTACCTCTAGGATGTCACAAATGCTGCCTGTGTCCAAATAGTGAAATTATAACTTACAAAAAATAAAAAATAAATAAATAAATGCAGCAAAATCAGATCTATTCACTGGGTTATCTGATTACTCTGGTTATCTCAGTTTTGTAGGCACGTGAATGCACCATAATAAACTGTATATATATACTGTAAATGAACACGTGTAAGTGCTGCTGTGAGTCATTTTGGTCTTAAAATGACCCGCTCTACATTGTCCTGGTGTCTGTGAATGGGTGAATGGTTCATTGATGTAAAGTGCCTTTAGAGCCTTGAAGGTGGAAAAGTGTGATATAAAACTGTGACCATTTATCATTTATTATTTTTATTTTGCTATTTTGTCTGTAAATAAAATCCTATTCCTAAGATGGAGTTTGGCTTCCAATTTGCCCCTATAACTGCAGGCCTCAGTGAGCTTCGTTTGACTGAAGCCAGACATTATGAGTGAAATCACACTTCCCCAGTCCACTTCTATATACAGTGTGCGTGCCCAACAGCAGTGACTCACTGTGTGGAAGAGTGTGACGAGTGCAGACTGGAGGCATTCTCACTGCTGTAGGGATTTCATATTTAAAGAAAGTGATTTCACTGAATCCAGAACTTGTACTTACGTACTTTGTGTACGTAATCACGCCAAACAGACACTTGTAAATTTTAAGCCATGATATAATGATGTCATTTCCTCATAATAACCTCATCAATAATCCTTTATGTATTATTTTGTCCAAATCTCCAAAGCTCCAGATGTGTTGTGATGTCACGAAGTGTCAGTTTATCAGCTCCTTCTACCTTTAGTTCAGTTGAAATAATCCAGATGATTCTAGTGAAGGTGTATAGAGTTTAAAAATACAGGTGAGCATGTCCTGTATTACCACATGACATCACAAGGTGGAACCGAGTGTTTTCTGTTTGAGAGAACTCAGCCTAAATCAGGGTTTGTGTGTTAAATGTGTGAATGAAACAAAACACAAGTCCAGGTGTGTTTGTGATGAGGAAACAGACATCAGAAAATAGCCTAATATGGGCCCTTTAATTAAAGTTTCTTTTTAAAAATTCAAAATGTAATTTTTCTGATCAAGGTTTGTCACCTGCTTGTATCCTTGGAGATGTTGCAGGAATGTTCCACAGTATGGCATTATATGTTCTAAGGTTCTTTTTTCTGACCGAGAGTTTGTTTAAGTCCAAACTGTTAATATGAAAACAAGAACTGAAAATAGAATCTAACATAACTTATCAGAAGACCAAATGAACCTCTCTGGAGTATTACATCATACTCCTCATAGGTACAAATCAGAAATGCCGCCAGTACAAGTAACAGGTCCGATCTGTGGAGAAGTGGCCTGGCTCATGTGACAATGTATGTTTTTTTCTGGGTATATCTGAGCAATAAAAGAGCCATAATTGAGTAAATGTGTAAAAAAAAATTATAATAAATAAAAAAAAGTTATGTAGTGGTCCTTTAATGTAGCATTTATTTTTGTGCATCCTGTTTTTGTTTTTTATGAATATTAATGCTGTTATGTTCCATGTTCTGTCTGATTCTGTGGTGATAAAGCCGCTGACCGCTGTGGGCCTCGGACCTTCGACCACTTATCCAAAGACACAGATCACTGCACACTGACCTCTGCTGGCTGCTGCTGCCAATCACAACTATTTTATATGGAGGCTTCAGTTTGAGGGGGCTGTGGGGTGCCACCGTGTGGTGGAAAGGTGTTGTGCATTAGACGATGATGTTTCTGAAGAGAATGGGTCACGTAGGTCTGGGCTGTGGCCTTTTTACTGCTGTTGCCCTGTTGTAAAGTATTGCCCCCTACAGCAGAGGGGCTGCAGTCTCTGAAACCTGGGAGTCACTCTGGTTTAAGCAGCCCTCACCGTGGGGCCGTCTGTGCACCAAACATGCACCAAATAATAGAAACTGTGCAGTATGCAGCGCAGAGCAGCTACTCCCCACACACACAGCTAACATTAGCTTCTCCGAGTGCCACACAGTATCTCATGAACCTGACATTTAAGAACAAAAGCAATGATTACCATCACTTTTGACACATTTATTTATATTCCAAATAAAATAGAAATATTTCAGAAATAACAATTGTATTGCCTATAAAAAACGGGCAAAATGTTCTATACATATTGTGCAATAACTATCAAAACTATTGCACGTGTTTGCAAATATTATAAATAAATAGCTGTATCTGGATTGTGCTCTGCTGTGCTGTCACACAGAGGCCCCTCAGAGGGCTGTCTCTCTGGACACCGTGGCCAGGCTGTGGCGCTCCGGTCTGGATGCTCCTGTTTTCTTGGCCCCCCTTTTCAGAGAGTCCAGGGAGGGGCAGGCCACAGAGCTGAGGTCCCCACAGCTCTGGAGGTGGAGCAGGGCCGTCCTGCGCGAGGGGGGCCGGGGGAAGGTCTGGGACGTGCTGGGGACAGGCTGCACACTGGACCTCCTCTCTGAGTCCACCAGCACCTGCAACGCGGCACCAGAGTGAGTAAAGGAGAATATGGCAGAATAATAATACAGTAAGTGTAACACGTTCAGACGCTTGTGTCCCACCTGATCCATGAAGCCTGCACAGCGCACTGCCTCCTCCATGTGCTCCTGGTCAGAGCGCAGAACAGTGCGGATACTGTCCACCAGCTCCTGCAGCTCTGGGGCCAGACCCTGGGCCGGCTGCTCCAGGATCCTCTGCACTAGCAGCTGGGTGTACCTGTAGCTCTGGTAGTCCACCATGGAAGAGGGCCGGGGCCGTGGAGCTGCTCGGGTTCCACAGCCTCGTCGCAGAGTTACCTTAGTGGGTAAGATGGGCTGTGATGTCTGGGTGGAGGAGTCCACAGTGTGGGGCACAGTGGGGGGCTCACTGCTCCACCCTGCACACAACACACAAGCACACAGGCACATGAGCCAGGGCGATTTGAGAAGCACTGTGAGGAGCACTGCGAGGAGCACTGTGAGAAGCACTGTGAGAAGAACATATGGAGAGCACATGTGAGAACCTCATATGTGGGCAGAGGAAAGCACCTCACCTTTACATGGGTCTTCTGTCAGTACAGGGTCACTGCTGCTGCGGGAGAGCCTGGCCTTCCTCCGAACACACGCCAATGAGGGAGATGGCTCTGGGGCCCGGTCTAGGGGCCCGGCTGAGGGGAGCTCCAGGGGTCCCATCCCTCTGGGCTCCTCTGAAGACACTGAGCAAAGAGATTAGATAAGACTAAAGCTTCTGTTTTATACTGCTGCCATCTGCACAAGAACCACTATCCCATCCACTCACTTTAAACATGTATATATACAAGTATATCCAGTGTGCAGCCTGTACATTTAAACTCAGCTCGATTCTAATACATCTGATACTTTTACTTTTACTACTTTATATAAAGGGCCCATATTACACTGTCTGATCTTTGTTTCCTCATCCTCATGGTCCTCATGTGTTCATTTAAGTCACATAACACGTTAACACAGGCTGAGTTCTTCTCTCAAACAGAAAACACTCTGTTCCACCTTGTGATGTCATATCTATCTATCTATCTATAGATATAGATATAGATATAGATATAGATATATTTTATAGGGAGCTTTTGGGAGCTTGAGAGTTCTGCGCAGTATCTTTGCTGTTCCTGTTGTGCACTTTTCTGGACTGAGATGTTCTGTTGTTTTTCCTGGTATCTGCTGTAGACTCTGATGCCTTCACCTTCCAGACCTTCTCCAGCTCTTCCCTGAGCCCCTGGTATTCCTCTCATTTCTTACCATCGCTTGGCATTGCAGTGTCCACCGCCATGGCTTTGTTCTGTTTCTTATCCACCACCATAGCAAGAGACGAGTGTGAAATAAGGCATAATTATATAAATGTAAATCTACAAGTAAAAATAAAATAGAAAATTAAAGCCGCTCGCGATAGTGGCCCTCACCTCGGTGCACACTCCCCTCCCACGCAACCGCCGGGGACTCGCGACCACCCTGCCATTCTCTCTTCCCAACATCCGCCCAGGTCAACAGCTTGTCCATTACAAAAATTACATAATCCACCTTTAAATATTTTTAGGAGTCATTGCGCCTCTACTGGCCAACGGTGAAAGATGCCCAATATCCGTAATATATATTTTTGTTCACAATCATGGATAGAATTTAATCCCTGAATTTAGTACAAGTTCGATAATGACATTAATGTCTATGGTAGGGGGCGCTATAGTGTTCATTTTTCATATACTTATAGTGTGTTATAATCAGACCAATGTCATGCATTAGTGATTCAAATGTCAGCACGTTCGGACTAAGCCTGTGTGTGTAATCATTTTTTAACAATTTTTTGGGGGAGACTTTGTGCCCCTGCTGGCCAACCATGAAAAATGCATAGATGCATAGATCATGCATAGATTTAATCCCTGAACTTGGTACAGATCTGATATTGTTGACGTTTCATGTGTATGGTAGGGGGCGCTATAGTGTTCACTTTCCATATGTTTTATAGTGTATTATATTCAGACTAAAATCTCACATTAGTGATTCAAATTTCAGCATGTTTGGACTAAGCCTGTCCCTGTAATAATTTTTAAAATCATTTTTGGGGGAGTCTTTGTGCCCCTGCTGGCCAACTGTGAAAAATGCATCATGTCCGTAATAGACTGTTTTGCTTGTAATCATGCATAGAATTTAATGCCCAAATTTGGTACTACGGTCGATCTGATACCCGGGTGTGGGACTTTTCACGGGGTCAAAAATACGATCATTTGGTCGAAAAAAATAATAATAAAAAGAAACCCACGAAGAACAATAGTAATAAAAATATCTCAGCTATATACAAGAGGTCAGAAGGAAATGATGACATGATGATTAACAGGATATAGGCTTATCTGTTACATAAGGGTGAGTTGTTGTACAATTGTAGGCAGTATTATCTGTCCCTCTATAGTCTGGTGCAGTGGGGGAGCAAGAGTGTTCCTGATGGAGAGCAGTTTGTCCAGTGTCCTCGTGTTCTTCACTGTGACAAACGTCTCCAGCTCACAGACGGTCAAGTGACCAACTTTATGGATCATTTTGTCGATCCTCCCAATGTCCCTTTTCCTGGTGCTGCTCCCCCAGTAGACCACAGCCAAGTCCAGGGCACTGGCCTCCACACAGTGATAAAAGATCTTCAGTAACTTACTGCCAGTGTTGGGAAGGTTACTTTTAAAATGTAATCCCCTACAGATTACAGATTACACACCCCAAAATGTAGTTTGTAACGTAATCCATTAAATTACTTAAAGTGAGTAACGTAATCTGATTACTTTGGATTACTTGATATTGTCATGTTTTTTTAAACGACATGAATGTAGCAACCACATCCTGAAAATTCTTGTTTGTTGTCTTCAAATTGTCTGAGCCCAAGTCTCCATGAATAAGCAACTGTTTGCTGTAGAGAAACAAAGACCACGATATCTTAATATAAGAGGTTTTGTCTGTTAAAAGACAGTAACAAGATAAGCCTTTCCTTCACCAGATTAAAAAATATTATTGATAGAGAAATAATTTTTTATATGAGATCACATTAAATTATGTCAACCTACTGTTAGGTGTCATGTTGTTTAGACCTGGTTTAGTCCTGCTTTAATCCTGTTTTAGTCCTGGATTAGTTCTGGTTTAGTCCTGGTGTTAGTTCTGGTTTAGAGGCGCACAGGAGAAAGCGCGGTTTACGCGAGAAAACACGGTCCACACGCGGCGCACGAGGCGGCGGTGTCCGCGCTGTAACTACGGAAGGAGACGTGGTTCGCGGGTTCTCAGGTTGATGACGATGATGAAGGTGTTTGTGTGTGTTTGTTTGTGTGTGTTTGTGTGTGTGTGTCCCCTCATGTGGCAGGTCATTATAGGACAGTAGTGCAGATATTATGAGTCTATGCAGGTTGTTTTCACCAGTGCCAGTAGCTCCAGTTTCACATTTAAGTTGTAGGCGATTTTATATTTGTTTTTTTTTATATATATATCTCACATCGGGAGAAGAATTTCCAAGACACAAATGCGTTTTTACCAATGCACTGCTGCTTCCACTGTGTGACTGACACCGCCAACTTTAACATGACGTTTACATCGCTCTTACTGCGCGCGTTCTGTTTGGGCTTCAGGCAATGAGTGAAATTACCGAAATAAAAAAATTAATAAATGCGAGGTAGCACAAAATGTGAAAACAGGAAAATACCGCCTTGTAATCCACTTATTTCAGCAAAGTAACTGTAATCCAATTACCACTCATTGCAACAGTAACTGTAACTGAATACAGTTACTCATAATTTGTACTCTGATTACGTAACAGCGGTACATGTAATCCGTTACTCCCCAACACTGCTTACTGCACATGTTGACAGACCTGAGCTTTTTCAGGTCTACTCATGCTCTTCTTGTACACAGCATTACTGTTGTCCGTCCAGTCCTGCTTGTTATTCACATGGACACCAAGGTCCTTGTAGCTGTCCACTATTTCCACGTCATAACCCTGGATGGTGATAGACTCTACTTATGTCCTCTTTGTTCTGAAGTCAATCACCAGTTCCTTGGTCTTGTCAGCCTTCAAGAGCAGAAGGATTCCCTGGGACCACGCCACAAAATTTGCAAACAGTGTCCTTTAGCCCAGCTCCTGTCCATCTCTGATACACCCAACCACTGCAGAGTCATCAGGGAACTTCTGCAGGTGGCAGAACCCGAAGCTGCACTGGAAATCAGAGGTGTGCAGAATGACCACGAATGAAGACAGGATTGTACCCTCGGGGGCACATTACTGTGACCACGGTATCAGACAGGGTGTTCCCTGTCGCACATACTGACGCCTACCGGACAAGTATTCAGTAATCCTGGTGACAATGGAGGAGCTGACACCATCCTGAGCAGCTTCTCACTCATCGGAAAGGGCTGGACTATGTTAAAGGCACTGGAGAAATTGAAAAACAATATTCTCATAGAGGCCTTAACACCATCCATGTGAGAGTGAGGTCACTGCAGAAGATAAATGACCACATCATTCACACTAATATGGGACTGGTAACCAAATTGCAGAGGGTCTAGGAATGGTGCCACCAGTGGAGCTGAGCCAGAACAAGTCTCTCAAACACTTTCATGACATGAGACGTCAAAGCAGCTGGTCTGAAGTCATGAAGTCCAAATGGGGTGGGGGTAGATGTGGATTGGGCGTCTGGCAGGTGAAGAGACCGAAGTGCCAGGAGATGAAAAATTATTAAAATGGAAAATGAGTAGATTTGACCTGTCTGGGCTTTTGTCCTGCTGCTTAGTTTTGGTGTTGAAAGCCGTGACGACCTTCAACCCCTTCCAAACATCTCTGGTGTTGTTTTATTAAAGTTTTGCCTCCAACATCTTCCCGTAGGCTTCTTGACTCTGCCTGAGCTGGACCTTCAGCTGTATCCTCTTCACCTCGTCGTTCTTACCAGAGTTGAAGACCTACTTCTTGTTGTTGAGGAGATCCTTCAGCTGGCTGGTAATCCAGAAGTCGATGTAATCCGTTATACAGTCCACCATGCTGTCGATGGTGTCCCCATAGGCTGGCAGAGCACATCCCAGTCTGTAGTCTCCTGAAGGGCATGACTGGCTTCCTGACTCCATTTCCTTACGGTGCTAATGTGACAGTCTGCCTCTTCACTGCAGGGACATACTGAGACATACAAGATTGTGGTCTGATCGTCCAGGGGGCAGGGCAGTGGCACTGATGCCTCCTTAGAATTGGCACACAGCAGGTCCAGAGTTTTATTGTCCTGAGTTTTACAGTGCACATACTGATGAAGTGTGGGCAAAACACTGTCCAAGGAAACATGGCTGAAATCACCAGAAACCAGAAGTAGAGCTTCAGTGACCAGAGTGTGTGTCCTGTCACAGGCAGCATCTTCATCCACTGAGGGAGGGATGTAAACTCCAATGAAAAGGACACAAGTAAATTCCCTTGGTAAATAACATGGACACATTCCCAAAGCCAAAAGTTCAGTGAATGAACAGATACAATCCTTCACAGTGATATGGCCAGGAATTCACCACCCTTCGTTCACCAAAACACCAATTACACCACCCATGATGATTTTGTTTAATTGGATGAATAAAGTAAAAAAAAAAAAAAAAGAAAAGAAAAAGAAAATCTTAGTGGAAATTGTGTAAAGTGTAAACTGAAACAACTTAAAAAGGTAGCGGTTTTCAGGAAATTTTCAAGTGCTGCTGTGACCCTGCTGCTACTCTCTCAGGCGCTCAGGTTGTGATTTTGTCATCTCTAAACTAAAGGTAAAGGGTTAAAAAAAAACTTGAAAACTATCACTACATGACATCAACATCATGAGGTGGAACAGAGCATTTTGAGATTTGGAGATATAGACAGACGAATAATAAAGAGTTACTCAAACAAGGCTGAATGAAACAAAACACAACTCCAGGTTTTTTAGAGGAGGTAACGACATTATAATGTGGCGTAAGGTTAAAGACTACATTTTGTGCAATATAAGACCTTTAAATAAGAGCGATTCTCCAATTCCAGTCCTTTTTGTGGGTCAAACAGTTCTTCACATTTGTAAAAACTATGGTAGTACTCCTGTGAACGGGTGCTGAAAATTAGAATTTTATGCTATAACATTTGAAACAATGCATCATTTGTCCAGTGTAATTACTAGGTCCATACTGAATACATTTTAATAAAGAATGTACAGCTCATATTTAAAGAGGGGTATTACTCTTCTATGGGGTATGAACTGTTAACACGTCACATATTTACATCAACATGTTGCCTTTTATCTTTTTGAAAATGCTGTATTCACCAAAAACAATGTATGAACTTGTTTCATAAATTTTAGTTTCATTCATGATGCTCCAAGTCTCCCATCCCTTTGCTCCCCCCTTTAAGTCACTCCCCCTTCAGAGCACTGTCACAACACAATCAGTGTGCATGCTACTAATGAAACAAATGAAACTACTGCACAAAGCATCAGGTTTGTCAAGTTGCTGTGTATAGTTTTGTATCATGTTTTTGTATATTTCTGGAGAATTGTCATGTGAGAGTATAGGTGACATAGGCTTGTGGTTGGAGCCTGGCACAGAATTTTACAACTAACTGTAAGGAGGGTTTGAATAGAGCCTCAGAGAGATTGCAAAATTACTCAAACATGGCATGTTTTTTGATGAGGGAATGTTATAACAATGTATAATACAGAACTCATGCATTTGTTTCTCTGTACTCACGATCAGCTGACGAGGTGGCCCCTGGGCTCCTGGAGTCAGGCTCCTGCACACACACACGCACACACACACACACACACACAGTTCTATATTGTATATTAAGAGCTGTTATAACCAACACAATAATAATATCTGTGTTTACAAAGTCTGAGTCCTTGTTTGTACGGCCTTAGAAAATAATCTGCAGTGACTCAGTTCTGCCTCCTCAACTCCTCACCTGCAAGTCACTGCTACTAACCTGGAAGAGCCAATAGGAAACCACCAGCCTTTAACACTGTGGGGTCAAAAAGGTCAGGAGGCTAGGAAACATAACTGAGACTTGGCCCTAGAACACCATGAGAACAGATAGGAAGTGTCCCAGCAGACTCCACCCACCTGAGCTGAAGCCCCGCCTCCTGCCACTTCCTCGTATGGAGGGGGAGGGTCCAGTGGGCAGAAGACCTCCACGCCCTTGATGCGAGCGCCGTAGATGTGAGGCAGAGGGATGACACCATCTCTGAGCACACTGCACACAAACAGTTAGCTTTGGGTCAGGTACAAATCTTCTTTTTTACACGTAGAATATGGTCTTGTCATCAAAATGATACATAAAATGTGTTTTGTTTCATATATTCATATTTAAAGGTGCTGTACATGATTGTTATTGCCTTAAAAAAGTGAAAAACAGAACTAGTTCAATTTTAAACAGTTTGCAGAGTCCAAAGTTTTTCCTCACTTATCTTACGCATTCTGAACATCCTAAATATTCACGATAATGTGTTTATAAGTCCTTTTCACAACTCTCAGAGACCAGAGCGGAGTTTTGACATCATGTACTGCTAACAACAAATAGCAGGCTAAAGCACACTTCCTGATTATATCCTGACAATAAACGTTTTACATTTAGATGGAGACCGCACACACCAAACTTATTTTGACCTTGAGAGCTTCTTATATTTGTACTAGAGAAAGACTCATTTTGCTCCGATACATGGGAACAGTTCTTTAAATAATCAGTAGAGCTGAAGCACTAAACAAAGAGGTCATAGGAATTGTAGCAGTTGTAGATTTTCTACATGAAATTCCATCCATCCATTTTCGTCCGCTTATCCGGGGCCGGGTCGCGGGGGCAGCAGCCTAAGCAGGGACTCCCATACTTCCTTCACCCCAGACATGTCCTCCAGCTCCTCCAGGAGGACCCCAAGGCATTCCCAGGCCAGCCGAGAGACATAGTCCCTCCAGCGTGTCCTGGGTCTTCCCCGGGGCCTCCTCCCGGTGGGACATGCCCGGAACACCTCCCGAGGGAGGCGTCCAGGAGGCATCCGGAACAGATGCCCGAGCCACCTCAACTGGCTCCTCTCGACGGGGAGGAGCAGCGGTTCTACTCCGAGCTCCTCCCATGTGACTGAGCTCCTCACCCTGAAATTCCAATGGATGTGTTTTTAAGATGTAATTGAATAAAAGATGGTTAAGCAGATGACAGCAGGCAGGGGTGACTGGTTTTCCTTGAGGCTTTGTCATATTTTCTTCATTTGAAATGACCAGAATGCTCTTTCACTTTGTATTGCATTAAAGCCATCTGCTTCATCTGAGAGTCCACACTGAAACCCACCTGTCACTCATGCAGAGGCTTACCAATAGGAGGAGTAGGTGGGCTTTTGTGTGCACACTCAGATGCTTTAAACACAGAACCATCTCTGTAGATTTACTAATGTCATGTGGCCTCAGCGTACCGTCGGGCCAGCTGCGGGGTGTAGGAGTAGAAGGTGGAGAAGTAAGAAGGGGGTGGGGCTGGGGGCACAAACTCATCCGGGTCAGGCTCCAGAGTAGGCACCTCCCCCTCCGCTGGGTGTCTGGGTTCATCCTATCAGAGCACACAACACCAGTGACATCAGAGACACGTGAACATGGAGCTACACAAACTCTATCTACATCCAGTGAACCAGTAGGTAGGTACAAGAGACGCTATTACACTTCTGTGTAACACATCACATGTTTACATCACCATGGTACTGTTTATTGTTTTGAAAATTCTATACTTGCTCAGAACAACATATTAAAATGTTTTATAAATTTCACTATTGTTTTTGATGTTCTCCCCTCCCTTAGCTAAGTCACTCCCCCTTCAGAGCACTATAACAACAGCCACTAATGAAACAACTGCACATCGCATCAGATTTGTCAAGTTGCGGTGTACTGTTTTGTATCATGTTTTTGTATATTTATAGAGAATTGTCATGTGGGGGCATGGGTGATGTTGGCTTGTGGGCAGAGCCTTGTACAGATGCATATCGATGACTGTAAGTAGGGTTCAAATAGGGGCCCAGAAGACTCTGCTAAAATACTTAAACATGCCAAGTAAAACCTCTTCAGACATGTTTTGATAAGGACTGAGTTGCATAATACTCCTTTACACTTTAAGTGTTGATGTTCCTGCTGAAAAGTCACTGTGTGTGTGTGTGTGTGTGTGTGTGTGTGTGTGTGTGTGTGTGTGTGTGTGTGTGTGTGTGTGTGTGTGTGTGTGTGTGTGCGTGCGTGCGTGCGTGTGTGTGTGTGTGTGTGTGTTTGGTGGGCAGGGATTTATCACATTGCGGGGATTGAAATCTGTACACATGGGGACACAAATCAGGTCCATGACATAAATCCTTTATTATTAGATACAGCAACATGGTTTAAAGTTCAGATGTGGGTCAGCAGGTTGTGCTTAGAGTTTAGGTTACGGTTAGAAGATTAACTCAAATGAAAGACTTATGTGAGGCTCATTTTTAATGGACAATACACAATTTGGGTAAGTTATTACATAAATAATGTAATAATAATAATCATCCCAATGTGTGTATGTGTGTGTCCGTATATGTGTGTGTACATATGTGTGCATGTGCATGGGCGTGTGTGTGCAGGTACCAGGCAGGATGTCCTCGTGCTGAAGAGGCGCAGGTATCTTAGAGCAGCCGCCATCAGACACACAGCTGTGGTCAGAGCATTGAGTGCACACAACGCAAACATCATCTTCTACAAAACACAAAGGACAGGGTCAGAGGAAAGGAAGGTCAGAGGAAGGACAGAGGAGGGTCAGAAGAGGGTCAGAGGAGGGACAGAGGACGAAAGAGGAGGGACAAGAGGAGGACAGAGGAGGGACAAGAGGAGGGTTAGAGGAGGGACAGAGGAGGATGGAGGAGGGACAGAGGAGGACAGAGGAGGGACAGAGGAGGGTCAGAGGAGGATGGAGGAGGGACAGTGGACGAAAGAGGAGGGACAAGAGGAGGGTTAGAGGAGGGACAGAGGAGGGTCAGAGGAGGGTCAGAGGAGGGATAGAGGAGGGACAAGAGGAGGGTTAGAGGAGGGACAGAGGAGGGTCAGAGGAGGATGGAGGAGGGACAGAGGACGAAAGAGGAGGGACAAGAGGAGGACAGAGGAGGGACAAGAGGAGGACAGAGGAGGGACAAGAGGAGGGTTAGAGGAGGGACAGAGGAGGATGGAGGAGGGACAGAGGAGGACAGAGGAGGGACAGAGGAGGATGGAGGAGGGACAGTGGACGAAAGAGGAGGGACAAGAGGAGGACAGAAGAGGACAGAGGAGGGACAGAGGAGGGACAGAGGAGGACGGAGGAGGATGGAGGAGAGTTAGAGGAGGGACAGGTTCAGAAGTTCAGATGTTGTGTATGAGGCCCACCTTGAGCAGGATCTTCATGGTGGTGCAGGAATGTGCTGGCTGCAGCTCCAGCAACTTGTCCTCTGGGCATTTGGAGGTCCGTGCCAGCAGGCAGCAGTAGCACATGTCCCCCACCTGCAACACAGCACAGAAGGCCAACAAGCTGCTCGATCATCAATGATCAGTGACCTGACCACCATGTTCAACCTGACCATTATGTTCTACCTGTAGTGATGTGCGGGTCAACCCGTGACCCGGTTTGTGCAGGTTGGATAACTCAATGAGAAGAAGTAAAGTGGGTGCAGGTGGGTCGGGTCCCATCATAGTCTCATTTAAAGTTCAGAACTTAAAGTTCTGTAGCTCTGATGAACAAATGAGGGCACGGGACTTTTGTATTTGCACATCTGCACAAAGAGGACACCTTTAGCCCTTATGGAGTTAACGCCGAGACGTGAAAAAGGCGCATGTGTCCTGTGCGCAAGGAAGACAAGCATTATGAATAGTTTTATAGCTATGCATTGGAACTACACAAATGATGCTTCAATGTGAAAGAGGCAGGTCACGAGTCATAGACGCCGACACGGTGCAAAAACAAAGCCCCTCACCTGGACAGAGACCAGAGCATGTACCCAGGTCAGGTGCTCTTCGCTCGACGCTTTAGTCCCAAACACCACTAAAAGCTTCTTTGTGCACTACATCCTGTGAGTGCACTGGTCATTACAACAGGTCCTATACAGTACACTTCAACATAAATAGTAAAAGTGTCTCCAGAGATACGATGGCCAGCTGCAGTGGTGACAACACATTAGTTTTAATGTGCACAGGTTCAGACTGGGCCCCAATATTTGATATTTGAACTCATTTTTTTCAGGTTGGGTGGGTTAGATTCGATTTTATCTCGGTTCGAGCGGGGCAGGTCAGAAAAAAGCTTACATGTGCATCACTACTGACCACCATGTTCTACCTGACCACTATGTTCGAATCTAACCAGTGACCATGGTGGCCGAGTGGCTAGCACTCACGCTTCACAACAAGAAGGTTCTGTGTTTGATTCCTGGGTCATCCAAGCCTTTCTGTGTGGAGTTTCTCTGTGTCTGTGTGGGTTTCCTCAGGGCACTCTGGTTTCCCCTATCAACCCAAATCATGCACCACATGCACACAGCATGTGGTGCATGATTAGACCTTGAGTCCTGACCCAGCCCTGAGCACTGCACAGGGCACTGAAGGATGGGTCAAATGCAGAAAATACCTAATTTACCTACAGGGACAATAAGAGTACCTATACTACCTTAATGTTCTACCAGCCCACCATGTTCTGCCTAACAATCATGTTCCCCGATGACAGAGGAGGACTGACCTGCTGGCAGCTGCTCATGTTGGACACCATTTGAGCTCCCTGACAGCACAGGACGAAGCCAGCCAGACTGAGGAGGACACACACCACTGACAGGAGCACAAACATGTTGACCTAAGAGGACAGGAGAGGACACAGAGATATTAGGGGACAGAGGACAGGAGAGCAGATAGAGGACAGGGAAGGAGACAGAGGACAGGAGGAGAAACAGAGGATGCGAGGGAGACCGGGGACAGGAGAGGAGACAGGGGATGAGACAGGGGACAGGAGCAGGGACAGGGGACAGAGGAGGAGACAGGATTTCACATACAACACAAATGTTGGATTAGTCACAGTGGACAGAAACACGTGTCTTGAATGTCCTCTTATTATAACTCATAAGATAAATAAGTGAGTAGAGTAAAGAAAAAGATGAGAGTGTGTCTGTGAGCTCTGTCCACTCTTAAGTTTCATTACCATGAGCAGCATGGGTCTTCTCCAGGTGAGCAGCCCCACGATGCCGGACAGGATGACCTGCAGACACAGCACAGCTCAGAGGTGACCACTGGCCACAGTGAGTCCATGTCCAACAGTGGATTTATTACTGATTGATAAGAAATTCTGTGAGAAATGAGCTCCACCCACCAGGTCTGAAGATGACGTTTGTGTGTCACAGCCTGTATGTGTGGAGCCTTTTCATACTTTGCTTCATCGTTCAGGTTCATGTAATTAAATTTAAACAAGTTTATCTAGTGGAGGTCTCGTGTAGGGCTAGGGGCAAATGAAGACCTACTTGTAGAAGATAGTTCCTGTTGTACTTTACATAGCCTCCCTCTGGCCCCAGATGTGTAGTAGCCTGCAGGTCTGTTCTGCCCTGACACTGCACAGGCCTTGTACTCAACTCTCACAGCGGAGCTCTGCTTAATGCGACAAGGAGCCGACCATTTCGAACTTTTCAGAGAACTTTTGTGCTCGGTCTCCATACGCGGGCTGCTCTTTGAGTAAACTGGGGTCACTTACCGAGGAGCCGGCCCAGAACGGGCAGGAGTTTCGTACGGGAGCGGAACTGCTCAGGGACAGAGCTCCGTAGGACAATGCAACCATAGAACCGCCGAGCAGCAGCTGCAACAAGCCCAGGGACAGCAGCGGTCGCCCGGGCAGCGGCCGTGACGAGGCCGCGCCATCCGCGCGCGAACACCACAAGCTCCGGGGCCGCTGTCTGTGCGAGGACTCGACGTGTGAGGAGCCGACAGCAGGACAACACGAGCCCGGGAGCACAACCGGCAAAGACATGAGAAACAGCGGGCTAGGACCCTCCGTCAGCAGCGGTACCGCGAGGCCCCCTGCCCCATGAGCGCACTTTTAAATAGCACAGGCCGTCCGCTCAAGGCACGGCTCCGGATAGACTTACACATATTTTGGCTTGGTCTGGAAGAGCCCGGAAGGGGGAGGGGCTGCAGCCATGTGCCCTCAGATGTAAACAGCACAAAATAGCCTACTTAAGGCCTACAGTCAAAGCCGAAAACACGACAGATGATCCGTGAGGCGCTGAGCCGATGTGTCTGTGCGCGCACTCATCCATCTGGGATGTCCCGTGGGCAGAGTGGGTGGAGTAGGCTAGCCCAGCTCTACTCAAGTAAGAGTATTGTTACTTACAAAACAAGATTACGCAAATTGTAAGACATTACACCCAAGAAGCTGTCTGGACGTTTCAGTGATCCACAAGGGAATACTTGGACACATTACAATGTCATAACAAAGAGAATCACTGATCAGTAGTACTGATAATATATAGTGTTGAATACGGCACAAATGTGTATGTACAAGAAGAATACAATTTAAATACAAGTACAACTAAAATACATCAGTGCTGTCCTGTGTCCAAGAGCTGGTCTAGTATGACATCTAAGACATGAAGGTGCACAGAGTATGTCAGGTGATGTAGCCTGGAATGAGCTCCTCTGTCCCTCGGGCTTATAGAGTCTATAACCTGTCCAGTGTCCTCTGTCCTTCTCTAGTCTGGTCCGGTGTCCTCTGTCCTTCTGTAGTCTGGCTGAGTGGGTGAGCAGCAGACTGGTAGAAGATCTCCATTAACTTGCTGCACATGTTGAAAGACCTGAGCTTTCTCAGGAAGTAGAGTCTACTCATGCTCTTCTTGTACACAGCATTACTGTTGTCTTTCTAGTGCAGTCTGTTGTTCTCATGGATGCCAACATACTTGGACAGATATGGGCTAAACTGGTATCTTCTTCCACCTGGTCTATCACCAGATCTTTGGTCTTGTTCTAGATGGTTTGACTTAGCGTGATTCATCAGCCAGTTTCACTTCGTGGAAACCGTCTGACATCGCAGCATTAGGATTCATTCACTTGACGGTAGGTGGGTACTTTTTTTTATTTAACCACTCACTGCTGTTTGGTCGTGACGTATGTAATGCTCCAAATCCCGTAGGAGGAAGGGCAATAACATTTTCCTTGATAAAATTCACCAAACATTCTCTTTGTTCTGGCTTTAAATCCTCAATCTCAGGAATTGTTGCCAACACAGAAAGTATGGCTTCATCTACATCCATCTGGACCTCTGTGGATACTGTTGTGCTGTATCACAAAGGGACCCAGACAGACGCTGGAGAGAAATGAAAGTGAGTGGAGGCACTAGGTGGCACCAGCGTGGCAAGGTTTGACTGGGACCACTGTACAAAATTTGTCATCGGTGTCATGTGCTTCAGCTCCTGTCCATCTCTGATACTCCCTGCCACCACAGAGTCATCAGAGAACCTCTGAAGATAACGTCTGATCTAGACTTAGACTCTGATCTAAGACTTAGACTGAGACTGAGACATCACACTGTATTATAATGGCAAAGAGAAAAAGTATAAATGGTAATAATACATTCAAAACAAGTATCAAAAAACATAAAAAAAACAGATGTCAAATAAGACATAATTATATAAATGTAAATGTACAAGTAAAAAGGAAATAGAAAAATTTGTAATAAAAATATATCAGCTACTAGACAAGAGGTCATAAGGAAAATGTGCAAAGATGATATGATGATTGACAGGACATAGCCTCACAGTCCTCACAATTTAGGGAGTATTATCTGTTACATGATGATGAGTTGTTGTACAGTTGTAGGGAGTATTACCTGTTACATGATGGTGAGTTGTTGTACAGTTGTAGGGAGTATTATCTGTTACATACAGGTGAGTTGTTGTACAATTGTAGGGAGTATTATCTGTTACATGATGGTGAGTTTCTGTACAGTTGTAGGGAGTATTATAGTCTGAATGTAGTCCTGTATCTCACACTGTTTGAGTGGAGCTGTAGGAGCCTGTTGGAGAATGAACTCCTCTGTCCCTCTATAGTCTGGTGCAGTAGGTGAGTTATTGTACAGTTGTAGGGAGTATTATCTGTCCCTCTATAGTCTGGTGCAGTGGGGGAGCAGGAGTGTCCATGATGGAGAGCAGTTTGTCCAGTGTCCTCCTGTTCCTCACCGTGACAAATGTTTAAAGTGTGAAATCAATATAATTGTAAGGACAGAAAATGAGGACAGACACTGGGGTAGGAGGCTAAACTCTGAGGGAGGCACCTGGACACTGGGGAAGCACAGCCTCTGATTGACTGCTTTGTTCTTGCCTTGTTGTAGGTCTGGGTCAGGTTAAGGGAAAGGGCTGTACAAACTGGGGGAGGATGCAAGACACTGGAGAGGAGTGAAGGCTGGACAGAGAAGGAGGAGCCTAGACACCGGGCATGGAGCCTAGACACACAAGGCAAGCTCCATGTGACACTGCAGATGTGAACTAGTTTGTGTCCAGTACAGGAGGGTCGTGGTCGTGTAGGCTGGAGTACACGTCTAATGTTAGTCATGACTGGAGGTTGATTCTCATCTGGTTCTTCTGCCCAGGCCTTTACTTAAGACCAGTGTTGCCATAGTTACTTTGAAATAGTAATCTGACTACTGACTACTGATTACTTCTTTAAAAAGTATCTTAGTTAAGTTACTGACTACTTGCTTTTAAAAGTAACTAAGTTAGATTACAAGTTACTTTATTAGTTACTTTCAGCAGCGGCTGATCTCCCCCCTTCTTGAAGCAGACAACACTTTGTCTCCAGCACAGAGTGAACAACAAACCTTTCTGTTGCCATCCTCAGCTGAAATCAAATCAAAATAATGTTTGTATTTCTAGCTGCAGAAGTCGTACCTCTCTCCCTTCTGTTACATCTGACTCGTGGAGGAGCAGAGATGACGTAAAATCTGGTGTCACCAGAGACGATTTATACGATCTTTGGGGTCACATAACCCACGTTGCCAAAAAATACAAATAAATAAATAACTTACGTCGCCCTGAAACACAAAAATAGTAACACACACTGTATTAGATAAGTAACTTAAATCTGACTACTGGTTTGGAAATAGCACTGTGTTAGAATACTCGTTACTGGAAAAAGTAGTCAGACTACAGTAACGTGTTACTAAGTAGCGTGTTAGTGGCATCACTGCTTAAGATACTTCAAACTCCTGCTTTCTACACTGTATGAAGGCGAGTTTGTTAAAGGAGTTTTTTTAGTTATTTTTTGCAGTTCAAGTTGTGCAAGTCCAATGAAGAGCTTGAAATGGTACAAAGGTAAGAACTGAACAGACAGAGGTTAAAAAAACATAAAAGAACAAAACACAAGTCCAAGCTCTGCCAAAACTACCTCAGGAAAAAAGAACAAGATGGTAAAGCTTGAAAACATGGAACAGCCAGCACAGTGTCCAGATTTAAACCCCATGGAGCTGGTTTGGGATGAACTGGACAGAAGAGTGAAGCAACCTACAAGAGCCACACATTTATGTGAACTTCTGCAACAGACTTGGGAAGAATTTTCTGAAGAAGATTTCTATTGTAAAAAGAATATCACAAGCGTGTTCAGCTGTTATATCTGCCAAAGGTGGAAACACTGGTGAATCAAAAGTTTAGAATATGTTTTGATCAACAGTAAACAGTAAAAAACTGGAAAAACTGTGGTGTTTTAAAACTTTTGAGCGGTAGTGTTGTATCGTGCTTCATAGAGACCTGGCTTCATACAAACTTCCCAGGCCATATTATTGTGAAGGAGCAGGAGCGTATCTGTTCATCAAACACTGAACTTTTGGCTTTGGTAATGTGTCCAAGGGAATTTACTTCTGTCCTCTTCATTGGAGTTTACATCCCTCCCTCAGTGAATAAACTCCTCAGTATGTCCCTGCAGTGAAGAGGCAGCCAATACAGGAAGCCAGTCATGCCCTTCAGGACTGCTTTGAGACTACATGTGCTCTGCCAACCCCATGGGGACCACATCGACAGCATGGTGGACTGTGTAACAGATTACATCAACTGTGAGGATACAGTCGGGCTTACAACTCTAGAGACAAGGACGAGTTCAGCGTGGATATTGTTTATGGGGTACTGCAGATTGTATTGCGACCAAAATGACTTTTGTTTAGAAATGACAATGGAAATGTATCAGAATCAATGACCATGGTGTCATTTGTGGACGACACAAATAGTTTCTATTTTGGGGAAAACACAGATGAAATTATAGTTGAAATTATAAAAGAAATGACTAAGATAAACGGTTGGTGTGTCATGAATAATTTCGCTTTAAACCTTGTATTGTCGAAGTTTTCAGCTTGTCCAAGAAAGGGTGAAGACCCACTGGACGTCTTACACAGGAGAAGTTTATTTACCATCAATAATAAGGCTCAGGGTGATTTGAAAAGTCAACATAGTATGATTTCAAAAGAGAACATAGTGTGATCTTTGAGTGTTCAAGCCCCTTTGACTGTGCTTGCTGAGGAGGAGGTTTTTAAAGCAAGTGGTGAGACTCTGAAGGACAGTAGACACCGGTTATGCAGCAATATGCCACAATTTAAATACTGTTATGCCAATGGTGTGCCAAGGGAACATCATGGTGTAAATATAGCTTTTATGTCAATGTTAAACTGAGATAGAAGATGGAAGAAGATGGAAGATAAATTACTTAAATTCTCTTACACCTTGGAAAAATGAAATTTATGTTATTTGGAAACTGTTAAAGGATGCAAAAGTGCAATTACAAATAGATGGAGTCGAAATCGAAAAGGATCATGAAGATAAATTTCTAGTTGTTTTAACTGATGACAAAGTTAACAGAAATCCAAATATCAAATAGATACAAGGTAAGATATCAAGAAACATGTCCATGTTAAATCAACTGTAGTGAATAGTCTTTTGAATTCATCTTAATCTGTGATCTGCTCTTCAAACTTCATGGCCTCTAGGATGGTGTTTTCTGTTCCTCTTTAAACACAGAATACAGTTTTCCTTCAGTCTGATGCTGCCTGCATTGGAGTTATTGTTAAGATCACATGGCTTCTGTCTGTCTCAGCTTAAGTTTTCAGACTTGATGCCCTGAGGACTTCAGACCTAAAAACCACTGGACCTCTGGATCACACCGTGATGAACATCTCCTCTCTCCTGGTCGTATGTGCACATATTGGTTATTGCTGCTCCACCCCCTCCACCGCTGACCCTGGGCCTGGACAGAAGACAGCTCCTTCCTGTGATCCAGAGGAGAGCGCTGTACTGGACCTATGTAGGAGAGGCACATGTCAGAACACAGGCATCGAACTCAGAGGGTAAAGAGGGCTCCTGAGTCAGTGGGCAAGAACTGAACATATACTGCTCAAAAAATTAAAGGAACACTTAGAAAACACATCAGATCTCAATATGAAAAAAATGCTGGATATTTATTCAAATTTAAGCAGAGCAATGTCTTCAAAACAAAAGGTGGCACCTCTTTTAACGGAAATTAAATGTTTTTAAGCCTGCAGAGGGTTTCATTTTATAGACACCCTGAAACTCAAAGTGAAATAATGATGTGCAGACTTGTCCATTTTGCCAAAATTTTATTTCTGCAACTCAAACTGCTTCTCAGTATCTTGTGTGGCCCGTGCTTCTGTGCATGTCTGATAAGATTGTGGCTCGCTCCTAATGAGACGACAGATGGAGTCTTGTAGGATGTCCTCCCAGATCTGTATAAGGGCATCACTGAGCTCCAGTAGAGTCTGAGGAGCAACCTGGTGGCGTATGATGGACCCAGACATAATGTCCCAGAGGTGTTCTGTCGGGTTTAAGTCAGATGATTGTGAGGGCCATTAAATTGTATCAATCCCTTCATCCTCCAGGTCAGGAATGGGCAATTCTATTTTCCATAGGCCCAATTAGAAACAGAAAATATTGTGGAGGGCTGAGCCAAAATGCTGCTCAACTCAATTCTGCAATTACATGTGCTCAGGGTGAATCTGCTCTCATCTGTGAAAAGCACAGAGCACCAGTGGTGGACCTGCCAATTCTGGTGTCGTCTTGTAAATGCCAATGGAGTGCCACGGTGCTGGGTGCTGAACACAGGGCCCACTACAGGATGCGGGGTCCTCAAGCCACCCTCTTGTGTGTTTATGAGTGTTCGGGCGGAGACATTCACACTGTGTTTGTTTGTGTGTGTGTGTGTGTGTGTGTGTGTGCGTGTGCGTGTGGGTGTGGGTGTGTGTGGAAGAGGGGCCTACCCGATGGGCTGTGGGCGACTGTGGTCCAGTTTGGGTGTCTTTAGAGGAACGGCGTAGATATCTGGGTGTTTCTGAGCGATCTCCTGCTGCAAAATGGCATTATTTGAAGTCACTTTCCCCAACCAAAAGAACTGTGTTATACATCAGCTATTGATATTCACCTGGAACCACTGAGCAGCCCTTAAAGGGCATGTACCCCATTTTCTCGCATGTGTTTGAGCAACTTTTGTGTTGCCCCTGTACAGATGTATTGTGCAGGTGTGTAGTGTAGGTGTAAGCCTCACCCGAGCCCTGTGCGCCTCCTGCAGCTGGAGCAGCCTCTGAGCTCGGGCCATGTGGTCCATCTTCTCAAACGCTCGGATCTTCCCCTGGAATGAGCGGGTGGAGGGGTCTACGTCTGAGCTGTCGTCCTCCAGCCCCTCCAGTGTGGCAGGGGGCGGGGTCGTCTCTGTGGATGGGGCAGTCTGGGGTCCTGCCTGGGGTCCTGCCCGGGGTCCTGCCAGGGGTCCTGGGGGTGGTCTTGCCTGGGGCTGTGGTGGTGTCCTGAAGGAGCTGCAGAACACGGTGGGGGGCAGAGGTGGTGGGGGACCGTAGGCAGTGTGCGTCTGGGGCTCGGTGCTGCTGGACGGGCTGCTGCTAGACGGGGAGTCATAGCTGGGGGGAGGGGGATGGTGCTGAAGGGGACGCCCTGAGAGCAGTGCCGCCTGCAGGACAAAAGAGGTGCAACAAGTTGAAGGCCTGCTTGCTTTTTTCAACTTTTTCAATTAGGTTTAATAAATCTTGATTAAATATTAGTGAGGATCATTGCTAATCTAGGGTTTCTGTAAACCTCTCTGGTTGAACGAGCTTGAATCAATCCTACATTTCTACTGTGCAGTGTTACTTATCACTATAAGCCTATAAGCATGTGAGATCATGTATGGGGGCTCTCACCTTGCTGTCCGAGGGGAAGGCTGGAGGACTGTGGGCTCTGGTCAGCAGGTCTCCACTGCACATCTTCTTCAGGCGGAAGCGGATCTCTGGGCTGTACCTGCGCAGTATCTGCACAAACAGCACATCCCATAATAGGACGCATTTCTTAAATTTTTATGTAGACTTCAATTCTCAAAGAAAACAAGGACAAAAAGATAATTAATGACAATTAATATAACCTGGTCACTGTACCCACCCGATCACCTTACCCACCTGGTAAGCACCCCCCCCGGTCACTGTATTCCCCTGGTCATCACACCCACCTGGTCAGCAGACACGGGTTCGGAGGAGCGGCTGATGGCGGACACCTGCATGGCATCCGTGTCCAGGTCGTTGTCCGTGTAGACTCCACCCTCGTCTGCTGTGTCATCGAGGTCAGAGGTCAGGCGGCTGTCCATGCTCAGGTAGTCAGCTGACATGGCGGACAGGAAGGACAGACGCTCCACATCTGCGCTCTCCAGCTCACTCTCTACTGCCTCCAGCTAGAAGAGACACATGGTGGATCTTGGGTGCACAGGAAAGAAGGAAGGACAGACGGAGCGCACAAGAACGAGAGAGAGAACAGAGCCAGGCTGTAGAGTCACACACACGCTCATACTACAATACAACTATACAATACTACTGCACAAGCCTACTACAATACTTACTACTGCACAAGCCTACTACATTACTACTGAGAAGAGCTAAGGGACTGTATGATCATGGTCTAATGTCATTTCATGGAATAAAAAGTTTAGAATAAAAACTATAGTGTACATACATATTGTAAAGTTGTTATTATTATTATTTTTTTCCTAAAAATAATACAAGCAATGTTGTAAGTGTGACTGCTGATGTTACTGTATGGTCCCAGGTGTCAGGGCTTGCTGGTCAAGTGTGTGTATCTTTAGTGCTTTGATATTTCAGCACTTACAGGAAATTCCCTTACTCCACTTTTAAAGCTGTTGTGGCATGTTGGTAATTAGTGACAGATTTTAGCCATTAGTGACACAGAGAGGACAGTCTCATTGTAGTGGTGTGGTTTTGTTGTTGGGGGTGTGATCTTGTTGTGGGTGTGATCTTGTTGTGTGGGTGTGGTCTTTTTGTGGAGGTGTGGTCACGTGGGGATGTGGTCTCGTTGTGTGGGTGGGGTCTCGTTGTGGGGGCATGATCTTGTTGTTGGGGCTGTGGTCTCGTTGTGGGTGTGTGATCGCGTTGTGGGTGTGTGATCGCGTTGTTGGGGGTGTGGTCTCGTTGTTGGGGGTGTGGTCTCGTTGTTGGTGTGGTCTCATTGTGGGGGTGTGGTCTCGTTGTTGGGGGTGTGGTCTCGTTGTGGGGGTGTGGTCTCGTTGTGGGAGTGTGGTCTCGTGGGGGTGTGGTCTCGTTGGTGTGGTCTCATTGTGGGGGTGTGGTCTCGTTGTTGGTGTGGTCTCGTTGTTGGGGGTGTGGTCTCGTTGTGGGCGTGTGGTTTCGTTGTGGGGGTGTGGTTTCGTTGTGGGGGTGTGGTCTCATTGTGGGGGTGTGGTCTCATTGTGGGGTGTGGTCTCATTGTGGGGGTGTGGTCTCGTTGTTGGTGTGGTCTCATTGTGGGGGTGTGGTCTCGTTGTTGGGGGTGTGGTCTCGTTGTTGGGGGTGTGGTCTCGTTGTGTAGGTGTGGTTTCGTTGTGGGGGTGTGGTTTCGTTGTGGGGGTGTGGTCTCGTGGGGGTGTGGTCTCGTTGTTGGTGTGGTCTCATTGTGGGGGTGTGGTCTCGTTGTTGGTGTGGTCTCATTGTGGGGGTGTGGTCTCGTTGGGGGTGTGATCTCATTGTGGGGGTGTGGTCTCGTTGTGGGGGTGTGGTCTCGTTGTGTGGGTGTGGTTTCATTGTGTGGGTGTGGTCTCGTTGTTGGTGTGGTTTCATTGTGTGGGTGTGGTCTCGTTGGTGTGGTCTCATTGTCGGGGTGTGGTCTCATTGTGGGGGTGTGGTCTCGTTGTGGGGGTGTGGTCTCGTTGTGGGGTGTGGTCTCGTTGTGGGGGTGTGGTCTCATTGGGGGTGTGATCTCATTGTGGGGGTGTGGTCTCGTTGTGGGGGTGTGGTCTCGTTGTGTGGGTGTGGTTTCATTGTGTGGGTGTGGTCTCGTTGTGTGGGTGTGGTCTCGTTGTGTGGGTGTGGTCTCGTTGTGTGGGTGTGGTCTCGTTGTGTAGGTGTGGTCTCGTTGTGTGGGTGTGATCTTGTTGTGGGGTTTGCTGAGGGGAAGTGGTTACTTTTTATGGGTTTGTCTTTACTGAGTGGGAGTGGTTCTGCTTAGTGTGTGTGGTATTGCTGAGGGGGTGTGGCCTTATACAGAGGATGTGGCCTGTAGAGGGGGTGTGGCCTTGCTGACCAGGTGTGTATTTCACAAAAGGCCTTGCTGAGGCTGTGTGTTTTTGCTAAGTGGGTGTGGTTTCTGTTAAGTGGGTGTGTTTTTTTCTAAGTGGGTGTGGTTTCTGTTAAGTTGGTGTGTTTTTTTCTAAGTGGGTGTGCCTTTTGCTAAGTGTGTGTGGTTGTACCTTGCCATCAGAGACCCAGACAGGCTGCGCCTGCTGCTCGCGGATGGTCTCTTTCAAACTGCCGTACCAGGCGTCGTTGGCTGAGTTCAGGTCGATTATGGCTGGTGACAGGAGACAGTTACATGAGTGTGTCTTGTTGAGGCAGAGAGCAGTGACAGGTCGTGTTCTGTACTCACCGGTGAAGAGGTGCGCACAGCTCTTCTTCAATTTGAGGGCCTGCTCATAGAGTTTGCGCGCGCTGCGGTTGGAGTTGGGCACTAGCCGCTGCCTCATGGCTTTGACGCCGTGCTTGCTGTCCGGGTTGAAGAAGATGACGATGGGGTACCACTGGCTGTAGTTTAGAGTGTCCACTGCTCTGGGGGTGACATCCAGCAGTGCGTGCTTATCCTGCACAAGGAGGAGCCAGAGTTTTACACCTCTGTAAAGATACTTAGCCATGTTTCAATAACAGACAAAAGTCTACAGCTCTGTGGTGTGTGTGTGTGTTCACACAGACCTAGTGTTACCTGCAGTGTGGGAAATAATAGTAGCTACAGTCTCACTGTACATACTGCACTGCATAGTTCCAGGAAGATCTTATATTACTTTATTACTCTGTTGCAGCAAAAAGCCTGATCTCCCTGTGGCAGTCTTGAGTTACCTGTTCAATGATCTGTCGAATAGTGTTGAGACGTACGACACCTGATGACTTCTCAGACCCAGCGTCTTTGGGCTCCGTTTCTGTGAAAGGAAGAAGATGGTTTTGTGCATTTTACATTTTGTTCATTGAAAAACTAAGTTTTGATCTAAAAAGACTAAATAACAGAAAAGGGTTCAGACTTCCTTAAAAAAAAATGCAGACTACATAGGCTCCGCTTCCTGGCATTCACACTAGCAAGCAGTGCATTACCATTTACATTATATGTTTTTTATATTTGGAAAAAAAAGGCTATGTGACTTTTTTAACCCTACATGTATAACACAGAGTTTTAACTTTTAAACAATAGGAGGTAGGATTTTTTCAAGCACTGAATGTGGGCACTTAGTTTTAAGAACTTGTTCTCCACAGTCTCCACAGGACAAAGGACAAAGGACAAAGCACTCACTCGCGATGACAAACTGGTCGGGCATCTCTGCGGCCAGCCTCTCGGTGGCAGCATCTGTGATGGGCCCGAAGAGAACCACAGGCCGACGGAAGCCCGCTGCAGCACACACAAGAGAGTACAACAACAGTAAGAAATTACAACGGGCCTAAAAGAATTAATGAAATAAAACCCAACTCAAGGTTAGGCCTGTCACGATAAATACTATATTGAGTTATTGTTCAATACATGACAGATCAGACAATTATTTTAGGGTGTCAACATTTATCGTGGGCACCTTTTCTTTGTACTAGTGGGAAACTTCTTTATTTTTCTGTTCCACAATGAGATTTGAGCTGTAGAGGGTTTAATTATGAACATCAGTCACTAACTACTTAAGTATTGCATTCTTTTATTTATTTATTGCAGTTCACTTTTTTTTCAAATATTGTACATTTAGAATACTTTTTGTGGATAATTCTACTTCACCCCAGTGACTGAGAGGGTCACGTTCCTACGACCTTCGGGTCGGGGACAGGTCTCTTGATGTGGTGTCGGCCTACAGGCCGAACAGCAGTGCAGAGTACCCGGCCTTTTTGGAGTCCCTGGAGTCCCACTAGACAGTGCAACGACCAGGTACTCCATTGTTCTACTGGGGGACTTCAATGCCCACATGGACAATGAGAGCGACACCTGGAGAGGGGTGATCGGGAGGAACAACCTCCCTGATCTGAACTTGGGCAGTGTTCTGTTACTGGACTTCTGTGCTAGTCACAGTTTGTCCATAACGAACACCATGTTCGAGCACAAGAGTGTCCATAAGTGCACATGGTACATCCTAAGCCAGAGGTCGATGATCAACTTTGTTGTTGTGTCATCTCACATCTGGCCGCGTGTCTTGGACACTTGGGTGAAGAGAGGGGCAGAGCTGTCAACTGATCACCACCTGGTGGTGAGCTGGGTCAGATGGGACTTTCCACGCACACCTCCGGGAGGACTTCTCCCAGATTCCAGAGGAGGCTGGGAACATGGAGTCCTAATGGGCTTTGTTCTCGGGCTCTATTGTTGATGCGGCCGTAGCTGTGGTCGTAAGGACTCTGGTGCCTGTTGTGTTGGCAGTCCCTGAACCTGGTGGTGGACACCGGAATTAAGGGATGCCCGTCAGGCTGAAGAAGGAGTCCTACTGGGCCTTGCTGACTCGTGGGACTCCTGAGGATACTGATAGATACTGGCAGGCCAAGCATGCTGCAGTCCATGCCTGTGCCTCAGAGAAATTCTGGTAAACCCTATATATACTTCTACAATATATCACATTTCAAAATGTGTATACTCCATGTATGGTTTTGAGGATGCCACAACATTGCAACATGGCTTAAAAGTCAAGTTGTTGTAATATTGGACATTTAATGCCCTTGTTCATGACTGAGCATGCAGACCTTCCCGCAGCAGCACGCGTTCGTAGGCGGGGAAAGGCGTGGCGGTGGGTGGGGCCTCTCGACTCCTCCGGACATCCTTCCTCTTCATGGAGCGCTGGGCCCGGAGCCTCCAGAAGTCAGCCCTGTCTGCAGGCAGGCCGCGCTGGCACGACTGCACACTGGCCATCTGCTCCGCCCTGCAACCACATCACCACCAAAGTCCATTTTATTGTTATAGAAACTAACAAGAAAAAAAAATACACTTATCATTTATCTGTATTGTTTTGTGATCCAGGTTTTAAAGGTCCTATATTACACCAAATTAACTCTTGTGAGCTTTAAGCCATGTTATAATGTTGTTACCTCATGAAAAAAAACAGACCTAGAGTTGTGTTTTGCTTCATTCTTACATGTTTGAGTAATCCTGCATTATTAGTTAGTCTATTTCTTGCAAGTTCAAAATGCTCTGCTCCACCTTGTGATGTCATAAAGCTTTGAAGCTTTCAAGTTCACAGCTACCGTTTAGCTTTTTTTTTTTTATATGAATTGGCAATTCCAGTGTTGAAATTATCTAAATGATTCTAGTAAAGGTGTATGGATGTTAAAAACACAGTGGAGCACAGTTCCTGTATTACCATATGATATCACAAAGTGGAAGAGAGTTTTGTCTGTTTGAGAGAAGAACATAGCCTAAATGTGCAGGTTTGTGTGTTAAACATGTGAATGAAACAAAACACAACTCCAGGTGTGTCTGTGATGAGGAAACAACATTTTAACAGAGATCAGAAAATAAAGTAACATGGGCCCCTAAAGACACTGTAGTTTAAACGATGAAATGGCATCTTGAGCACTTAAATAATTCACAACAGAATTTAAGAATCATTACATCATATTTGCAATCAGTAGTTGAACCTGTCATCTGCACTGTCCACTCACTTCACTAAAACATTGTAAATAGAAAAAAATCTAGAAAAGATTATTAAAAATCATGCCTAGCTTTTTCAAGTCAGTTGTGTGTTCCTCGCACACACAGATTTCACCTTATATGGAGTCCTTTTTGGGCAAAATCCCCCTGTGTGTCAGCAGCATGTTTTAGAGCTCAGCACTACTTCCTCTATTTTCCAACCTTTTTTTTCACCTGATTGTAGGCCTGATTTGGGATAAATATCAAATTAAACTAATTTAAACACATCCAGAATAACTGACAAAATAGACAGAGCTATAAACTAACAACACAAGAATCACATTTCAGTACATGCTTGTACAGATCTTTTTAATGCAGAATGAGACATGAAATTTTGCTGTTTGCAGAGGAAAATATAGACTTATATAAAAATAAATATAATAGAAATGCCTATGACCTTTGTGTTTTCCCAGTCAAGGAGCTGGTTTTCCCTCTCACAGTGGTCTGATACGGTGGACTTGAGTTGTTCTTGGCTTCTTGTTTAGTGGCTTGAATGCATGTTTTGATTGTTTCCTTTTCACATTGCATTTTGTCTTAATTTTTCTAGAGGTGCACTGATATGATACTGGTATCAGATATCGGGGTCGATATTGAAAATTTTGGTGGATCTTGACTTCCAAAATATCGGTTCAGCCGATATCCCGTTTTGGTCTATAAACTGATGTAACATGACATGACATGACAATTTATTTTTAATGTTGGCCCAGAACATCTCATAAGGTTGAACTTGATTTTTTATAAAGTGGTTCTGTAGGTACAAAACAGATTTGGATCATTACCTCACGCTGTTTGTGTTTAAAGAAAATGCATTTTATTTCTGGTCTCTGCATTGGTGTTGTTTAATATCGGGAATCAGCATGTACTGACTTCAGTATCAGAAGAGAAAAAGCTGGATCTTGCATAAATTACATTTGTATTTGTGGTCTTGGTCTATTTTGTTCTTGGGGTGCACTACACCACGTTCCAGCTGATTATGCAAATTGTGTGATAGTGTCATAAAGATAGTATTTTTTGTTTTTCAAACTCATGCATGGTATTGTGTGGGCTCTTTGGGTCAATGAAATCAATCTCAGATGCCTGTGCCAATTAGTTTACCATTTTCAAACAATATGGGAAAGAAAAAGGATCTAGTGCCAAAAAGCTTAAAATAGTTGAATACCTTGGACAAGGTATGAAAACCTTATATATTTCATGAAAACTTAAGTGTGATCATCGTACTATTAAGGGATTTGTAGCTGATTCAGAGCTCACACAGACTTGTGCAGATAAAGGCACAATGAGGAAAGTTTCTGCCAGACAAATATTAAGATTAAGAGAGCAGCTGTTAAAATGCCATCACAAAGCAGCAAACAGGTATTTAAAGCCGCTGGTGCCTCTGGAGTCCCGCGAACATCAAGGTGTAGGGTCCTCCAGAGGCTTGCAGTTCTGCATAAACCTCCTATTGGGCCAGCCTTAAACAAAGCTCACAACAGAAACGGCTCAAATACATGTCCCAACGAGGCTGCGATGTCAGCAAGGAGGAGGAGGAATCATGTAGCAAATTCCATAGTATCTTCATCCAGGACAATGCATCATCTCCTGTTGCAAGAAATCCCTCTGCCTCATTGGCTGCTCTGGGCATAAAAGAAGAGAAACTGATGGTGTGGCCTCTGTCCTCCCCTGACCTCCCCTGACCTCCCCTGACCTCCCCTGACCTCCCCTGAAGCTTTGGAGCATCCTCAAGTCAAATGAGGGTGGGAAGCAGTTCACATCCAAACAGCAGCTCTGGGCAGCTATTCTGACATCCTGCAAAGAAATTCAAGCACAAACTCTCCACAAACTCCCAAGTTCAATGGAGGCAAGAATTGTGAAGCTCCTTTCAAATAAAATGTGTTCAAATGTAATGTGACTGTTAAGATGTTTGGATTGAAATAGCTTTGGATTTCAATAATACGCTAATGCTTCTAATTGAACAACAAACAAATGACCATTTTCAGTTCTTTAAAATAACATGGTTTGAAACTCTGCAGAATGATTTAGAATAGGGAATTTTAAGTTTTTATTTTTTGAAAAAATACTGCTATTATGGGAAGGTTTGAATTGTACTCTAAAGGTTGATGACTTGAAAATTATGATGACAGAGAAAAATATAATTTGCTTAAGAATTTGGAATGCAGTGTGTCACTGTCATAATTTAGTATGAGGTTTGAGTAGTGATGTCATGTTGTTCATGTATTGTCTGTTGTACCTCAGACATGTGGCAGTGTAAGCACAGCCCTGTTTTGCTTTCTCTGTGCACAAAATGCAATGTGAAAAGGAAACAACCAACTTATGCATTCAAACCACTAAACGAGAAGCCCACCAAGAACAACTTAAATCCACAATATCAGACCACTGTAAGAGGGAAAACCAGCTCATGGACTGGGACAATGCTCAGGTAACACAGCAACAAGTCCCATCAGGATCAAGGAGGCCATCGAGATCTGGAAACTGTAAATCAGAACGAGGGAGAGAACTAACTTGTTCACACCTGAGATACAGTTATGATGTGGACTGCAGATGGCGCTGTCCACTGAACCAGAACCAGCCCGGAGGTGCACCCACGTAGACTGTTGGGTGACTGCAGGCGAAAGGACCGGCCACACTGTGCTCAGCACAGCAGTCACCCAATTGCACTTTGCAGACACCCTGCTCCGCAGGCTCGGGGTTCTCTCTCTCAAGACCTAGTCCTGGTTTAGTCCTCATTTAGACCTGGTTTAGACCTGGTTTAGACCTGATTTAATCCTGATTCAGTCCTGGTTTAGTCCTCCGGGTTCAGTCACAAATCGTGTCCCCCCCCACTTAAAAAATTCCCTTTACACACTGATAATTAATAACAGTAATACATGGTAATAATAATTTAGACTGGCATAGCTGCTACAGATGCAGTTTGCTGCTTTTGGCTGGTTCGCTCTCTGACTGTCCAATCACGGCTCTGAATCCGGGGACATCGTACGCTGCTAAAGACCCTGGTGACACCAACTCAAAATCTCATTGGTTGAAGCAACAGTTTCATGGACATTATTTTGTGTTTGTGGGCCTGCAGAACGGATTGTGAAGACCTCAGACTTCTTTGACTTTGACCCTGCCTGGCAACAGATGATGGCTGAAATGTGATTGGTTAAATGTTTTAATATGAAAATACATGTTTGGAAGCAGCACAACCATCGGAAAGCTCTGAAAGGAAGCAGAAAGCAACCATTTGGAATTATTTAATAATACTATCATTAACATCAGTCTTTGATTAAGATATTTTTTTAGGCCAGCAGAGAAGCCTTGCAGGCCCTGACGGCCCACCACTGTGAAAAGTTATTTTTTGATTGTTACTTCAAATTAAGATACATTTGTTGGCCTAGATGGGGGTTCTGAAAGCTAAATATTGCTATCAGCCAATATCAGGTATCGGCCCGGCAGCAGGCCAAATATTTAAATCCACATTGGCCCATCCCTAGAACTGATGGTACTTCATAATCTGCAGTCTTTGCGATTTGCTAATTCTCCTATGATTTATATTTCCTCCATGTACTGAATTATCCCACTAGTGTAAGTAATAATTACAAACCCCAAAAATGTGTCATATACACCTAAACATGTTTCCTTTCATCTATGTTTCACAAGGACAGAACCACTCTGAGCAGATTTGTACCGGCTCTTGTTGGGGATGATGCCCTTCTCCAGCAGCTGCATGTCTCTGCCCACGCGGATGGCCAGCCAGTTGCCCAGTTTGCCGTCGTACAGCGTGTCCACCACCTTGAAAAGCTCGCCACGGCCGAACGCCAGACACTGGGGGCTCTCCTTCTCGTAGCGGAAGTGTGTGCGGATGAAGAAAGAATCCCCCCGGCCTGACACCAGGATGTCATTATACACTGTGGAGAGCAAGCACAGCACGTGAGACACAAAGTCCTAAACATGGCAGCTTCAGCACTCTACTTTTGTTTTTAGGTACCACGTGCCAGAGTCCCGAGTATGTGCACTACACGCAGCCTGCTGGCCAAACCCATAATGTTCCCTTTTGTGTAATGTCTGTATGTATAAAGGACACAATAATGTATGTGTCCACTCACAGAGGTAAAACCCTGCCCGCGCACTCACAGAGGTAAAACCCTGCCTGCGCACTCACAGAGGTGAGCAGAGTCTTTTGTGTTATATGCTATATTAATATTCTACTTGTGGAAGTGATTGTCTTGTGGCCACTGATCTACGTATTCCTCCCTCGCTTCTTTCGCTCTCTCGGGGAGGGTATCTGAATCGCTCACACGCCCATAGCTTCTCCTGACCATTCATATCACTGCATGCATATGCTGTATGTATGTGCATAAACAGGGCTGTGATGAAACTCTTGAAACAGCAAGATAACCATTTGGCCATATGTGCAAAGATGCACTGTCTAAATATTATGACATGTATTATAGTAATATAAGTACTAACTAAGCACTATAACTCAATTTAGTCATATTCTAGTTCAAATAATTCAAACTGCTGTCACTTTTAGTTTTGTGTTGATGTGTAAAACCTAGAATAAACCCACTGACTGTCAGTTCATGTTTAGGTAGAACTCAGTCACTTTGCATGGCCCTTTAATGGTGAAGTGGAGGTGTGGAGAGGGTGTGGCGTGACATGGGTTCACTTGGGCAGATTCTAGCTGCAGATGTGCTCTATGAAGCACAGAATGCATGGTGGAGTGTTGAGGTCTTTTCTAAATTTGGAGTTTGTGTGGCGCACACCTCTGATGGTCACTAGGAGTACTAGTCATTGAAGTATTTGGAATCCTCACAGCCACCAGAGCAGAACTGCAATGTCTGAGCCAGGGTCAGCACTGGGTTCTGCTATGATTGTAGTTTATGGGCCGTTTCTTGCCCTCGGTCTTAGCGCTAGTGTTAAGGTGGGAGCGTGTCCAGACTGAGGGCTGGAGTGGGGCGGTACTAGTATAAATATGGTGAAGGTATCTGTGATCACTGTGGCATTTAAAGTCACTGCCCGCGTGGGTCTGCATATCTGCAATCTTGCCTCATTTTTTGCCACATTATCAGGCAGCTCCACATCCCACAGCAGACCCGCTGAGCGCTGATCTCCCCCTGGTCATACCCGCTCCTGTCTGTCTTAGTCTGCTCCTGTGTTTTTCCCCTGAGGTACAATTGTCCACCGCTCACATTCTTGTCTCACGGGTGTCCACTGCATTTGGTCCCACACAGGTGAATGTCTTGCAGATTATTGAATATGTTTATTGTCATGTAAATGTTTTTTTGTTTTTACTGCTTTGGGCACAGACATGGATTAAACCATTAACACATGAGGGGGATGACTGCATGTCCTGTATTTGCCTCACACAAGTGGCTGATATGTACCATGAGCGCACAGAGCAAGATGCGCGGGTGTCTGTACAGAGCAGTGCATTTCTTACTTATACATCTCTTGAGTAGCTGTACAGAGTCCCACTGACTGCTGCTGCCAAGAGAGCAGCACATGGAAGATGTGCGTCTGATCCGCTGTCATAGCCCTGAGCTGTTAATAAATGCACACATTCAACTTATCATTGTCAAGAGTCCAGCCGCACCCTGGCTTCGTTCACAGTTGTCAACATTTTTGAGGGTAGCCTACCTACTCGGGACTAACTTTGTAAACTAACCAAAATGGCACAATGGGAATAATTTTGTCACAAAATTAAATGGAGTCGATGACAGAAAGAGCACAAGGTTGTAAGGAAAACCAACACTGCAGCATTAGGACCACAGACAGGGTCACGAAAGACACTTTAGGATAGATTAAACCAAACTGTAGAGCAGTAATAAACTGATCCACAGAGGCTGTGCTCTGCTGTGGGAGGGCATCCGGATGGCACACAAACATCCCGCACGGCCCACGAACATATTATGAATGTACACACCACGCCCTCAGTCCCCCCCCCACCTAATATTTCACCACGGCATACTTCCTACTATGTATCTGACTTTGGTTAAATGCACGGAAGTTTCTTTCATTATCACTGACATGGACATGCGTCATTGTCCGCCATAACAAGGACCATCCGACTTGATCGGTGAAATAAGGAAGGAGTAAGGAAAGGAGACATTATACTTCCTTTCATAGCTCCTTTAGCATAGGAAGCATAGGAAGCTCAGGAAGCTCAGGAAGCATAGGAAGCTCAGGAAGCTCAGGAAGCTCAGGTTCTTAACCGATGGTTAAGAACCTGTGTGTGCATGTGTGCTTGCATGTGCTTGCATGTGCATGCGTGTGCATGTGTGTGCATGTGTGTGCATGTGTGTGCATGTGTGCATGTGTGTGCATGTGTGTGCATGTGTGTGCATGTGTGTGCATGTGTGTGCATGTGTTCATGGGGGTGCATGTGTGTGCATGGGGGTGCTGACCATCCGGTTTGCTCTGGGCCAGGATGGTGACCAGATCTCCTTTGGGGATCTCCAAGAGGAAGAGCACAGCTTCCTCGCGCACCACGCCCTGGAAGTCCACCTGGTTCACCTGCGAACAGAGAGGAGCATCAGCCCAAGCACCAACCCACCTGCTCAAGTCTCTCACAGCAATGAGTGGAACTTAGCACTAAATCAACATTTTTAGCTACTGAACTGTGTATATGGTGTTTCAAAAGCCCTGTGTTCTTGCTGTTTTTTTGGTCATTTTAGTGCACACAAGGTATTTACAGCTCTGAGGTAAAAGTGTATAAAAATGGGTGTGTCCTGTCACCAGTGGCCACTGACAGGACCGCCCTGATTACAGTCAGGCATTACTGACAACAAACACCTGGCTCCATGGGTGGAGTTTCAAATCTTAAACCATTCGCACTAACCCAAACCCTAACCCTAATCCTAAATCTAACCCTCCAGACCGCGCCCCTCCTATCCCCTCACTCTCCCCTTTTGTCCTCCAGGTACTGCCCAGTTTAGCAGCTTTTTTGGAACTGTGCTTGTGAGCGGAGTTTAGGTGTTTTGTCTCTCTTTGACCAGACAGTGGTTCATTAATGGTAACACTTACGTGCAGCCTACAGACTAGAGAGAGAGGGACAGCAGTAGTAGCTATGGTAGCTATTGTAGCTATGTATTTAGAAATCACACCATTTAATGTCACTTTTTCATGGATGGAGTGGATAGACGATTGAGTACCTTGAGGATGAGGTCCCCGGTGCGCAGGCCCTCCTCCTCTGCGGGGCTGCCCTCCTGGACCCCCGCAATGAAGATGCCCACGTCGTTCCCCCCAGCCAGCCGTAGTCCCACACTGTCCCCCTTCTGGAAGGTCACCATCACTGTGTTGGACCTGCACATGTTACATGGGGTGAGAGGAGTACAGTAGAGCAGGGAAACCTGATCAAAGTCCAACCAAACCCGTCTGAACATGACAGCCTCGGTCAGTCTCTGACAAATATTGAGAACTTATGTTTGGGCCCGGGATGGACTCGGACACATCAGAGCGATAAGACATTTGAAATGTGAAATTAAAAACATCTTAAACTACCACAGATTACAGGCTTTTTCGGTCTTAAATAATTTTTTTTTTTAAATGAGTGACAAAACGCACACACCACAGACAGGAGGAGAATCTTATGAGACTTAAAATCTCTGATTGAAAAGACTGCTGTGGGATATGACTGCAGACCACAAGCTACAAAGTTGTGAGCACACCTCATGTCAGTTGTGTCCTGTCTACAGTAAAACGACTCACTTTGAGACTCTTAAGTGTTCAAAGATTAGAGCACTGCACTTCTAGTTTAGATACAATTCAAAACTGTGTTACCATTATTTGTGAAATGTGGTGCAAAACTTCACATACAGGATTTTTAAAGAATAAAAGACAGGAGATTGTTAGATGCAGCTTCACCTCACTCCGTGCTCTGTGTGGAAGTAAACAGACACGTGAGGAACAACTCTCACCTTTTAACTTTCAAAGAACTCCTCAAATTGGATTCACAGAGCGGTTTTGTGAACTGGATGTCATTATTTGTAGAGGACAAATTCTATGGATAATGTGGATGAGATGCTGCACTTTAAATGTACCACTTTACAAGAGATGACTTCTAGGGCCATATCTTGCCCCCAGTCTCAGCGCTATAACAAGTGTGGGGCATAGAGTTCTAAACAGGAGGTGTGTCGTGCCTGAACATCAGGTGGAGTGGAGCAGACTGAGGGTGCATTGTGGCGCGTTCAGTGAATTGCCAGAATCATAAAAATAAACAACGTGTAACATGCTCAAGGTTTCTTTTATTTGGACATATATTAGGATGATAAATGCTTAACATTCATAACATGTTGGTGTGCTGTGCAGGAGTTGTCCAGATGCCCTCCCACAGCAGGGCACAGCCCCTCGCCCGCTCTCTGTATCGGCTCAGTTCTGCTATATAGTTTGGTTTGGTCTGGATCTCATTCACATGAGGCCGTTTACAACGATGTCCTGAAGTGTTTTCTTATTCGGTCTGTGTCTAAATGCTGCAATGTCAATTTATTCACATTCTCGCGGCCAGACTCTGTTAGGGTTGGAGCAGACGCACGGATCATATCTGTGCACAAAGCGGTAACATCAGAAACATTAACATGACAATAAACGTATAAACGAGCGGGAGTGAGAAAGCCGCGGCTCTGCTGTGGGATGGGAGCTCATGAGACAGACACTAGTCTTAAACAAACGCAGAGGAAACTATAAAAGGTTCACGTGTGTGCACGGGCTTACAGTGGTGCACGTGCATGAGAGGGACACAGGAGTGCACGGAGTGTTCGGAACACAAACCCAGTCAGTTCTGTCATGGCCCACACAAAATTCTATATTCCTGGTGCCTCTCCTCATAAGTACTTGCATCTCAGGGCTCTGGAGCTGTTGTATTGTCACATTTATAACTTTTTCCCACACTCCACTTTGCTGCCTGTAATGAGGCAAAGATTGCTGACTTTACCCACACTGGCAGAGCTTTTAAATGCCACAGCGCTCACAGATTGGTTCAGATGCCATCACCATATATGTACTTGTACCATCCCACTCCAGCCTCCAGCAGTGAAGTACAGCCCCACCTGGACACGCCCACTTGTGCTAGTGCTAAAACTGGGGGCAAGATACGGCCCTTAATGTCTTGTCATTATTTTCGCTCTATCCCAAGTTTGTATGTTGCGCCTCTGTGTTCATCACTCCATCTGCCCCTGATGTTCTGTTTTATTGGCTGTTACTGTAGCGTTGCTGATGTTTTAGTGGTTATGATCTGACAGAGCAGCTCAGAGTCACACTGACACCAAACACATGAGAAGCACAGCGGCTTCAGAACTCCACACAAAGGCACAAAGTCACGTCACGCCTCCCCGAACTCAGCGAGAAGCAAATCCTAGCCGAAATCGGGCAAATTCTCAAATGCAAGCTTTTGTTTTTGTGATTAAAAAAAAAAAAGAAAGAAAATATTAACGTTTCCTGAGCCTGGTCTCTTGTGTCGCTTATTTGTGTTGACGTTCCGAATGCCTTTTTTCAGTTGATTGGTAAAATTGGACTTTATAAAGACAAACAATATTCTACAGGTGCCATTAGTATAATAATAATAATTATTAACTTTGTCAGGTTTGGTTGGACTCGCACACAAATATCTTAACCCTTATTGGGCTCGGTTTAGATACAATCACTGCTCTGTGGGACGAGGGCCGATCTCAGACAGAAAAAAATTGTGCTGATCTACACTCTAATGGGGAGTGAGGTGAGGGACAGAATGGAGTGAAAAGGGAGTGAGATGGGAGGAGGTGTAGGTGAGGTGGGGGTGAGGTGGGGGTGAGACATGAGTCTGTGCCTGTGTTAAGGACACTTACCCATACAGCTTTTCCTCCTCGGGGCTTGGCCGGAGCAGAATCTTGGGTGTGTTAGTCACAGACGCTGGTGAAAACCAAAAAGACATTATTCTTTTCATATGAACAAATATAAATGTGTTGTTTTTATTCCACTGGCTGATAATGGAGGCTATATGAGAAAAATAAGTCTAAACCTCCACTGAAGAATATGTCTGAACGTTAAGCCTGTCTGCGGATGTGGACCCTACCAGGAGGCTGGCTCTCCACGGGGGTGTGCCTGGGCTGGTTCTGCTCGGGGGCCCTGGGCTCTGGTCCTCTGAAGGGGGAGCTCACAGTGGAGAGGTCAGCGGCTGTGGTCAGCTCATCCCTGTGGAGAGGACCACACACTGCACACATCACACACACAGAACAGCACACTTCCGGCTGCACTGCTCACAGAGCATTCACATCACTGTTTAAAAGTGTCTGGGTGTTGTATTGTACTTGATCTTTTGGTGGTTCTTGAGAGATGGGACAAAATACATTTTGAAAATTACTTTTTTTTTTTTTTCATTTGACATGTATGAGAGCTGTAAGTGTCAGTAGAGTGAGGTCTGAGGTGTACAGAAATGCAAAGGAACAGGTTCTGAATAAAAACATCTTTTCAGAAAAATTATAAACTCAGTTATTGTTAACTCCATCATACACAGTAAAAACAAATCTGATTTACTGCAACATAAATCACCTCACTTCAAATGTATAATGTAATAATGGTAATGGTTATTTGCCACTGTGTCCAATTAAAGTACATCTGTTTTCAAATGTTCATATACGTTTATGAACATTTGAGTTTCATAATATTTCAGTTTCAAAAAATATTTTTCTATTTTAAAGTTATAAAATAAACCTCTTTAAATAATCAGCACAAATCAGGCTGTAGATTTCAATGTGCTTTTCTACTTAAACCACATAAACTGAACTGCCAAATTCAAGTTTCTATAAAAAATGGCAAAAACTCCCACCAAATGTATGAATCTGACGGAGCTGATAGAAAACTGACAGAGTTGATAAAAACCTGATGGTGTTGACAAAATGTGTATACTGAAAACTGAACAAATATGTTTTAATCCAGAAGAAAACAGATGCTACAGGTTTAAAGTCTTTTTATTATTATAATAATTATTTATTATTATTTTACTTCCAACCACTAAACTCACTATAGCGGAGGGAAGTCCACTTCTCCTCCCTCGACCCCGTCTATCAGGCTGCATTAGAGCCCTGAAATTCTCGTGGGACCTGATGCAAAACAGTGCAGCGCAGGACACATTTTGAAAGCTCACTGAGGGAGCGGGACTACACAACGCGGGATGAGATGATAAACTGCAGTCCCGCAAACTAAAAATGAGTGTAAAGTAAAATATACAAATGATGAATGTAAGCATATCACGCATAATTTGTTATTTGATATTTTATTTGGCATTAATAAAAACATTTTAAGCAGCGTAAATTTGCGTATGTGGTGAGGAGGACTGAAAATTACAATTCTTTGCAGTGTGGGTGGGAGCGGGACCAGGACTGAAAATTCTGTCTGGCGCAGATCTCTAGTCTGCATCCCCCCTTTATCCTAATCTACCTCTCCTCTGCTCCTCCTCTATCTATCTAACTTTAGTATGCCAGGTATAATATTTTGAAAATATTTGTCTACAAATTGCTGTGTTTTAGAGACCTGTTTTGTCCTGACTCTCAAGAATCACCGATTTATATTGGCTCAAGATGAGAGCTTTCTCCTTTCCTGGGAATTCACACATCACCGTGACTGGTCTAATCCTCCTGTCAGTCAGACATGATGGAGGCCAACTAGTGAGACGCAGATGTGTCTGTGCTTGAGCATAGAGCTGCATTAAATAGAAACACACTGAAGAACACTGACATATTAGAAGGTCTTAAGGTTTATATCTTACTCACTGTACACACACTACATCATGTATGGTCCAGGGGCCAGATGTGACCCTTAGATCAGTCTTTTACCCTCAGTCTACCTGTTGAATTGGCCCAAATGCACTGCTGCAGAAAATTTTACTGCAAGTGTAAAAATCTAATACAATCACAATGATCATAACCTCAAACATTGTGATGTGAGCCAAACCTGACATTAAGGTTCCAGGACAGAATAAAGTTAGGTGGGTCTATCAAACTGAAAACAGTTGGACAAAACCACATGCGCTCATCTCCTACTCTCTTGCTTAGTCTCCTGTTTTCTGGATGTTTTTTATTTTATTTTATTTAATATGGGACTTGGGACGTTAGGTATCCATAGTGAACCATGCAGAGTCAGTCCTGAGCTGTGTACAGGGGTGTGGGCTGTGGTGGGCTTACCTGGGGTTGTCTCTGTCATTGGAGGAGTGGGAGGACAGGTCCGACTGGTGTGACCTCCTGCCCTCTGGAGGGGAGTATGAATGGTATGACTCCAGTTCAGACATGTCTAAAGAGAAAGCACAGTGAGACATGCTCGAGGCCCTGCAGCGCACCCACCACCAGAGGGAGCACCAGAGCAAGCCCTGCGCCAGACCATGCCCACCACCAGAGGAAGCACCAGAGACTGCCCACCACCACACAGACACACAGTTAGTACCAGACTAATACTCCTAATACTCCAGCCTCCAGCCCTGTGTATGATGCTCCAGCCCTACTGTCCTTTTTTTTTTTTTTTTTTTTTTTTTTTTTTACATTTTCTAATGCAATTGTTCCTATCTAGAACTTCACTGTTTGACTGGACCTATTTGCAGTAGAAAGCACCCTTCACTGCACCAGGCTGTCACACAGTCTCCCCTCTGAGGACCCAGCGACAGCCTGAGGCAGCCCACAGACAGGAGCCCACAGATAGGAGCCCACAGTCAGGAGCCCACAGTCAGGAGCCCACAGTCAGGAGCCCACAGACAGGAGCCCACAGACAGGAGCCCACAGACAGGAGCCCACAGTCAGGAGCCCACAGACAGGAGCCCACAGACAGGAGCCCACAGACAGGAGCCCACAGTCAGGAGCCCACAGTCAGGAGCCCACAGACAGGAGCCCACAGACAGGAGCCCACAGACAGGAGCTCTGAGCTGGAGACATGAGAAAAACCCAAGGAAATGTCCTGATAAAAAGTTATTTTATCAGTTAGTTTATTATTTACAAATGTTTTGGAGAAAGAGATGTAAGTCTGGAATCTCCCCGTTTTCAATGGGTGTGACTGACAGGTGAATTAGCCAATCAGGGACACACGGTGTGTCTGTATCGAAGTAAATATGGCTGCTTATGGAGTTAAGAGAAAGGAAACTATATCACAGGGGACTGAAAAACATGGAGGATTTCTGTGGAATCAATTAACGAAGCACTCACTCTGTTAATTTGAGGTGAGAGAAATGTTTTGTTTGTAAATCATAAGAGACCAATGAGCTCCTTTGTTTCTCAGGCATCACTGAAATAAACAAATCTGATTAGACAAACATGTTTGGTTCTGGCTTGAGATGCACCGGGGGTTGAGGGGACCTGACTGATATCCCTCTGTATGAAAAACAACAGGACATCAGTATGAATCTCTAGCCAAGGTGTTTAGAGTATAGAGAAATAGGGTGAAAGAGTTGAAAAACACAAAAAGAGATTCTGAATCTCAGTGGGAGTATCCTGGTTAAAGATGAACTAAGTAACTTCCCTCATGGAGAGTGCTTGTTTTAAAACATACCAGGCAAACAATGACATGTCTATAGATACAAGCACCAGAGCGTCCTCCAGAAAAGTTACACAGTACAACTTGAACTAAAGGTTAACAAACAGACCACCTGCCACAGCTATTCTCTCCACTTGACACTGACAGACATGGACAGGTGCGGACAGATGCAGACAGGTGAGGACACTATGGACACTTTACACAGGTGCAGACAGGTGTGGAGAACAGGTGTGGACAGGGGTACTGTGTGTGCTGTGAGACATTAGAGACAGAAGGACAGCCCCTCCACACTGTACAGTTAGAACACACCATTCATATGTGAGCAAAGTCTTACCATGGAACGATCGTCAACTCTGTCATACGTGTGTAACGTGGACACAGACAGACGCCTGTGTGTGAGGCACAGCTTATACTACCAAAGCTTCTAAGGTTTGTCAGGGATTTCACTTTATACTTCTTATACATGATTTCCTACAGTGGATTCTGGTTGGGTTTTTGAGGTGTGGTATATACTAGCATCAACATGTTTTCAACCATATTGTGGTTTGCACATTCTAGAATGTGATGATAGTTCCAGATGGAATTGGGATGAGACTAAATAGAATGCAATAAATCCTTCTGATATCCAAAAGGTAAATGTACAAATGCTGTACCTAATCATTTCTATTATGAACTAAAGCCTAGAACTTGTTGTATTAGAACAAAAGCTGCCCCTGCCATTCCGTATTAAATATTATTATCCTATAGAATGGTATGTGGTCATCTGAAACACAGCAATAGAGCTGGAAGTACGATGTCACTTCCAAGTCCATCAGATGATTGAAAACAATGATCCTCTCTCATTTTCTGGGTCTAAAATGTGATGATGTCATACTCCCAAATGGGACAACAGTCAGATTATTTGTATTGATTACATTGTACTTTGCCATGCCATTAAAGGAATAGAAATGAAGTTTCTCTCAATCCTGTGCATAATAAATAAATAATAATACATGGTAAACAGTGCAAAAGGCATATCGTGCAAGGCACAAGATCCCGGAGTGCAGGAGGCTGAACAGATTGTGTGCGGAATGGCTTGCATCACTCACATATTAAATATTATAATAATACGATATATGAAATATCAAAAAGGTCAAAAGCACAAATGTTGAACCTGATCATTAGTGACTAGAGCCAAGAACTCACTGTATCACAATAAACACCTCCATTTAAACAATATTCATTTTAGTTGCCTCCATCTGTATTAAATAAAAACAGTGATTCTGCTCCATCTCCATCTTAAATTATGACATCATCAGATTCTAGAACCTGAACCCAACTTATGGGAGGATCATTTACTTGCACTTGCATCCGTCATGTACACTTAAAAGTCTGTCACAACCTCGAGTACCAGCACTGTATACATCAGTTGGTACAATCTAATACAATCTAGTAAGAAACAGCATCCATGTCAAATTCATAAATCCAACTTTATTTATGTATATAGAGGTTAATCAGGGGTTAATATGTGGTATGATTAGAAAGAGAAACGTGGTCACTTAGGGGTCACTCCATCTGGCTGTTAAATACATGCAGAATCTCAGGAGGCCACTGTGCTAAAAGTATGACATGTTATCTGCAAGAGAAAAACACAGGCACAGACACTCACAACCACATAATGAACATGAACATGTATGTAACACAGGTACATGTGAATGTCCATGTGACAGAAGAACACAGCATGATGTGTGACCAGGTGTGTGTATGACTGTGGACAGAAAGAGCAATTAAGGAGGTGCTAGAGGGACACCTTGTACAGTGCCCTTTATACTGGCACCCTGACATACATTACACTGGTAGTAGTTGTGTTCATCTTTTAAAAATATTTTTTGAAAATGTATAAGTAGAAATACTGGGACTGTGCATTTTAATAACAATGTGATTTTGATAACAATTTGGATACATATTAAAATTATTTAAATGACATACAAACCACAAAATCTAATGTGAGTAACCAGCGTTTGTCTGTTTGTCTGTTTGTCTGTTTGTTTGTGTTTGTTTGTTTGTTTGTTTGTTTGTCTGTTAGCAACATAACTCAAAAAATATGGACCGATTTTGATGAAATTTTCAGGATTTGTTGGAAATGTGAAAAGGAAGAACTGATTTCATTTTGGGGGTGATCCGGAAGAAATCCTGGATTCTGGATCACTTTGAAATTTTTGTTAACATTGTGGTAAATGGGACCAAAAATTTAGTTTCTCAATATCTCGGTTAATTATTGACCAAACCCCATGAAATTTGACTCAGGGATGGACAATGGGATCCTCTTTCATATTCCAAAGGCTGATCCGGATCTGATCCAGAAGACTGATTTTATCACAATTTATATAAAAAATGGGGGTAGTCCTTGGCGGAGGTCTGCGCTCTCTGAGTGCTTTTCTAGTCTAGTTTATAGTCTTATAACTCCACAAATCTTATCATAATCAGATTTAAACTATACACACAGCCAGTCTGAAATATAACATCTTGTCCCAATAGCTGTGAGTAAGGCATTTTAAAAACACAAGCAGCATAGCTATTCTATTGCCATAAGAACAACTGATTCTGTGAGGTGTAGTATATTACCCTTACATTTATCTTTGCTGAAAAGGAAATAACTTGTATAAATTAAACTGAATACTGTATATTACAGACAGTGAAAGTTAACTATGGTTCTATTAATACCAGATGATTGACTTTCAGTACCACCCTCTTGTCGTCAAGAGGCAAGTAAGTAAGTACTTTCTTCCTTCATTATGTCTTGTTTTTTCCATATGAAATAACTTGCAAAGTGCTGCCCACAGTCAGACATAAGACCTCATTCCCTATACTAGTTTATTTAATCATTTGTATAGGTGTGTTTCAGGTAGTTTATTCTCACCATCGTTGTCTGAGTCAGAGTCAGCCAGGGGGGGTATGCGCACCAGGATCTGCCTCTGGTCCCTCTGCACCACCAGCTGCAGTTTCCCCCGAGACTTCTCGATGAGCTTCCCTGCGTCGTGCAGAGACAGGTTTTCAGTCACCGTCCCATTAATCTGCAATCAACCAAAGGCAACATGAGTCCAGGTACCAGCCTGCTCTCTGTCCATATATATATATATATATATATCTCACACTATTTAGAATACTGATAACAATCGAGAATTAATTCACCGCAACTATATTTACTACCTTCCTGTTAGTTCCTACCTCCTGCCACCCTCACCTCTCCACCAATCACATCTCAAGCTATTCATAGAAAAAGCACTGTCATTTTCCATCTTCTCTTAACAATCATCAGTTTCAAGGTTTTGGGGGTCAAGGTTTTCCTAACAAATCAGTCATTGTCTCTTCATCACTGACGTCTCTACCATCCACCATTTGAGGACCAGAGATGTTAAACTGTTGAGCAGAACCTGAAAGACAGTTCTAGATGGCTAGGACAGACCCCAGTGTCTGTCTGGGCTTTGTGAGCAGACTGAAGGCCCATAAAAACTGTTTCACTGATAAATTACTCCAAGTCTATGAAAATTTTGTATGTAACCTGTTAATAGAGATTAGAATAGAAAGGAGAGCTCAGTAAAATCTGACTTCAGTAAAACAGAGAACTCTGAAGATTCTGCTCAAATATGATCATTTTAATTTCAATTTCCAAGATTAATCTCCATAAATTTGACAGACTGATATTCGAACACACAATAAATACATTTAAAAGAGTAAAACAGGTTAAATGACAAAGATGTCTGTGTGAATGGGCGTCATTACTCTGTGCTCTGGCATTTTGTACCAGACAGTTTACTGGGATCTGTGTGTGAATGGGGCTGGACTGGGATCTAGAGCTGAATGATTTTAAGAAAAATCTAATCACAATTTTTCTGGCAGATCTTGCAATTTCGATTTCATCCACAATTTTTTTTAAATCAAGTTTCAGTGCACATGAATATTTGCAAACATCACATGCAACAATGATTTGACATTGGACCATGGGGGGAGGAAGCAACTAAGGGAGAAGCGGTGCAGACAATAAGGGCTGTGATTGGTTCTCTCTACCACATACATTTCTTGTACTCCACTTTCCTTTCTTTCAGTATACCCATCCATCCATTTTCTTCCGCTTACCCGGGGCCGGGTCACAGGGGCAGCAATCTAAGCAGGGAGGCCCAGACTTCCTTCACCCCAGACACGTCCTCCAGCCGAAAGACATAGTCCCTCCAGTGTGTCCTGGATCTTCCCCGGGGCCTCCTCCCTTTGGGACATGCCCGAAACATCTTCCAAGGGAAGAGCCCAGGAGGCCTCCGGAACAGATGCCCAAGCCACATCAACTGCTCTTCTTGACGTGGAGGAGCAGCGGCTCTACTCCAAGCTCCTCCTATGTGACTGAGCTTCTCACCCTATCTCTAAGGGAGCACCCAGCCACCCTGCGAAGGAAACTCATTTTGGCTGCTTGTCCTTTCGGTCATTACTCAGAGCTCATGACCATAGGTGAGAGTAGGAACGTAGATTGACTGGTAATGGAGAGCTCCGCCTTTTGGCTCAGCTCCCTCTTCACCACAACGGTCCAATACAGCGACCGTATCACTGCCAACGCTGCACCGATCCGCCTGTCAATCTCATGGTCCATCCTCCCCTCACTCGTGAACAAGCCCCCGAGATACTTGAACTCCACCCAGAGAGGGCAAGACACCTTTTTGCGGTCGAGAACCATGGTCTCGGATTTGGATCAGCTGATCCTCATCCCAGCCGCTTCACACTCGGCTGCAAACCGCCCCAGTGCTGCAGGTCCTGGTCTAATGAAGCTATCAGGACAACATCATCTGCAGCAGAGATGAGATCCTGTGGTCCCCAAACCAAGCCCTGACTGTGCCTACAAATTCTGTCCATAAATACAATGAACAGAACCGGTGACAAAGGGCAGCCTTGGTGGAGTCCAACATGCACCGAGAACAGGTCTGACTTACTGCCAGCAATGAACACAGCTCCTGCAGCGGTCATACAGGGACCGGACAGCCCTTAGCAAAGGGCCCCGGACCCCCATACTCCCTCTCAATATACATTGAATAATAATGTGTTTAATGCAGCTTTGTGCACATTTGTTTACGTTTTACAGAAACAAAACTTAAAACCACATGGCTCATTTGCATAAGCTGTAACCTCTGAAAATAAAAAACAGCTCTCTCCTTGCTGTCAGCTTGTCGGACTAAAGGACACAATTCAGTGGAATATGAGTGTTCTTTCTGTGACAGAGGACGCGCTGATGATGGTGAGTCTGTTCTGTGCGTCTATCGCATTGCGAGATGGTTCATGTTAAACCTTACACAAACACCAGGTTTAAATCCTAGCCTCCTCGTGTTGTGGTGGCGAATTACTTTGCGGCGCATAGACTCGATGCAGATGCATAAATCCATAGATTTAGGAACATTGCAAAAAAACACTGCTTTGATGCTCACAAAAACGTGTTTTTTGAAATTGCGTTTTTCGGTCCAAAACGATAGACCGTTGAGCCTAACTGGGATCTGTGTGTGAATGGGGCTGGAGGGAGGAGAGTGGAGGAGCACCTTGAGGATGATGTCTCCCTCCTGTAGATTCCCATCCTTGGCAGCGAGCCCACTGCTGGTCATCTGTTTGATGAAGATCTGACTCCCCAGACGCAGGCCATACTCTGAAAGACAACACAACAACTCATATGGTTACTCACACCATGAGGGCATGCAATCAGCCTTCAACTATTAGGAACAATCACAGCTGTCACAGCACAATCAGCATACATCCCACTAATGAAACTACTGCACACCACATCAGGATTATGAAGTTGTAGTGTATTGTTTTGTACCATGTTTTTGTATATTTATGGAAAATGCAGTGCACGAGCATGGGTGACATAGGCTTGTGGGCTGAGCTTTGGATAGGATCATACTACTAACTATAAGGAAGGATTGAACAGTGCTAGATCAAGAATAAGAAGAGATCGCTAGATTTCTCAAGGATGGATGGGTGAGATTTTGCTGGTAATCTATTACTAAAACAAGCACAGAGAAACCTGTAGTTTGGTGTCTGTGTGGTGCAGGGGCCTGTAGTTTGGTGTCTGTGTGGTGTAGGGGCCTGTAGTTTGGCATCTGTGTGGTGTAGGGGCCTGTAGTTTGGCATCTGTGTGGTGTAGGGGCCTGTAGTTTGGCGTCTGTGTGGTGCAGGGGCCTGTAGTTTGGCATCTGTGTGGTGTAGGGACCTGTAGTTTGGCGTCTGTGTGGTGCAGGGGCCTGTAGTTTGGCATCTGTGTGGTGTAGGGACCTGTAGTTTGGCGTCTGTGTGGTGTAGGGGCCTGTAGTTTGGCGTCTGTGTGGTGCAGGGGCCTGTAGTTTGGCATCTGTGTGGTGTAGGGACCTGTAGTTTGGCGTCTGTGTGGTGTAGGGACCTGTAGTTTGGCGTCTGTGTGGTGTAGGGACCTGTAGTTTGGCATCTGTGTGGTGCAGGGGCCTGTAGTTTGGTGTCTGTGTGGTGTAGGGACAGATGCAGAGGCTGCGCCCACCTTCACTGGGACGGTTCTTGACCAGCATGACGTTGATGGGTTTGTCCAGAGGCTCCAGGTCGCGGGGTGGAGGGGAGGGATCGTTGAGTCCCTCTCTGCTCCTGTATCGCCCTCCGCGGTCATAGCTGTCCCCTGGGCTGCGCCCCCTGCTGGGGTACCTGTGGCGCTCTGCGCTGGTGTCAAGGGCACGTCCTCGGCTGCCATCCCGTCGTGGCCGCTCAGGGCTAGGGGAGCGCCTGTCCCGGCTCCGGCCCCGCCCTCCTCTGTACTCATCGGAGGGCTCTCTCTGCTCGCGGTACCAGGCACTGTCGGTGTCTGTGTCGTAGTAGTGCGTAGGAGGGTAGTCCTGGCTTTGGGCACCAGGGGAGGGGGGCGGCTTCAGGGAGTGGAGTGGCACCTTCCGGGGACGCTTCACTGTCTGAGACAAAACACAGACAGGAGTCAAACCCATAACATTTATAGACGAGACAAGGGTGACCATCATCACCATTCTTCCCATCAGTCTTTTAGGCTGCTCAATGTGCTTAATGTACCACTTGGAGAATAAATCAGTTAAATGACTGACTGGGAATATGGGTGAGATATGTGGGTCATGAGCATGGGTGCATCCCTCTCCCAGAGGGCACCACACAAGAGCTCTATTAATGTTAATGAAGTATTAATAAAACTAGAGACCCCTTGGATACTGTTGCGGTGGCAAGAGTGGCAGCCATCTTAATTTGAAAATTCTGTGAAAACAAGGCCCGAAAATTCACTGATTGCAGTGTTTACATTGACATATAATATATGACATGCATGTAGTTCTTATAATACAGGGTCTTCCAGTGTTACTTCCAAATAAAGCTCTTTTTAACAGATCAGTGTGTTGTTTACACACATCTTGACATTTCAGAAGGGTCAGGTGATGTTACAGTGGCATGTGTTGCACTTGATTTGCACAGATTTTAGTGCCAATCTCTTTAGGACAGCATCCCAGGTCCTGGAAAGGTAATAGGCCCCTCATCTCTGTTTACCGTTCCATGGGTTTGTTTCCGGATCTCAATAGCCTTCTTAATCCAATATCTGCAGATGGCACTACTCCCCTACCAATGCAGGTAAATGAATGAGGCAAAAAAAAAAATGTCATTAAGCTCCATAACATGTCCCCATTACATTCCATGCTGTGGCAAGACACTTCACCCACATTTCCTCATATGAAAGTGGTGTGTGTGAGTGTTGCCCCAGGGCAGCCGTGGCTACAATAGTAGCTTACCACCACTGGGTATGGGGTGAAAAAAAAAAGCTGAATAATGCTCTGTAAAGCATCTTTGTGACATGTGTCTGTGAAAAAGCTTACCGGTGCTTACTTACTGTTTACTTCAGGTCTATCACTATAAAAGAAGAATTTCTGACCTTTTTTCTGACACATTAGTTTGGAAGAACACTGGCATAAGATAAAATGCAGATTAAAAAAATTAAATTATGGAAAGTATCTAAAAAGATCATTAAAGAGACCAGCTCCTTATTAGTCTGAATAAGTTCTGGTGTCTGTTTCCATAGGTTACCATGGCAATGATCGCGGTCGCATTCTATTTATAAACATTGAGTTCTGCTTTGCATGAAACAAGTGCAGAGTTAACAGGTCCAATAACACTGATGTGAAGTGTGAAAAAGCAGCATTCTGATGTGTGGCACGAGCAGTCCGCCTGCTAACATGAGCTGGAGTTACAATGGAGGAAATAAGTATTTGATCTGTTACTGATTTTGTAGGTTTGTCCACTGACAAAGAAATTAACAGTCCATAATTTTAATGGCAGGTTTATTTTAGCATTGAGAGATAGAATATCAAAAAGAAAATCACATTATAGAAAATATATCAATTGATGTACATTTTATTGTGTGAAATAAGTATTTGTTCCTCTACCAACCAGAGTTCTGGCTCTCACAGACCAGTTAGACACTTCAACTCGTCACCTGAAGCTGACTCCTGTTTAACTAGTCGCCTGTATAAAAGACACCTGTCCTCAGAATCAGTCAATCAATCAGATTCCAAACTCTCCAACATGGGAAAGACCAAATAGCTGTCAAAGGACATGAGGTACATGATTGTACCTGTACAAGGCTGGAATGGGCTACAGTAAGAAGCTGGTGTGAAGGAGACAACTGTTGGTGCAATTTTTCAGAAATGTAAGAAATACAAAATAACCATCAATCGACCTCACCCTGGAGCTCCACAGAAGATCTCACCTCGTGGGGTTTCAATGATCATGAGAACAGTGAGAAATCAGCCTAGAACTAAACAGGAGGAACTAGTCAATGATCTCAGGGAGCTGGAATCACAGTCACTAAGAAAATCATCTGTGACACTTCATGCCCCTATGGATCAAAATCCTGCAGCACTCAAAGCTCCCCCTGCTAAAGAAGCCTCATGTGCAGCCCGGCTGAAGTTTACCAGTGAACATAAGAAGGTTTTAGAGAGAGACTGGGAGAAGGTGTTGTGGTCAGAGGAGACAAAATAGAAAATTGGCATCAACTCAGCTCACCATGTTTGGAGGAAGACAAATGCTGCATATAACCCCAGAACCCCATCCCCACCGTCGAGCATGGAGGTGGAGAGATTGAGTGTTTTCTGCCAAGGGCGCAGGACAACTTCACCGCCTCAATGGGAGGATGGACGGAGCCATATACCTTTAAAATCCTGAGTGACAACCTCCTTCCCTCTGCCATGAAACTGAAAATGAGTCGAGGATGGGTCTTCTAACACGACAATGACCCAGAACATAAAGCCAAGTCAATGAAGCAGAGGCTCAAGAAGAAGCACATGAAGGTCATGGAGTGACCCAGCCAGTCTCCATGACCTTCACCCTATAGAAAACCTATGGAGAGAGTTGAAGCTGCCAAGCAACAGCCATGAAACCTTCATGATTTAGAGATGATCTGCAAAGAAGAGAGGACCAAAACTTCTGATATATGACAAACCTGGTCATCAACTACAAGAAATGTCTGACCTCTGTGCTGCAAACAAGTACTAAGTCTTTTTGGCTAGAGGGCTTAAATACTCAAATACTTTTACTGAATGAAATGCAAATCAGTTTATATATTTTCTATAATGTGATATTTTATCTCTCAATTTAAAAAGACTGTTCATTTCTTAGTCAGTGGGTAAACCTACAAAATCGGCAACAGATTAAATACTTATTTCCTCCACTGTACAAACAGAAGTGTGTGTGCGTCTGTGTGTGCACATGTGTGTGTGAGTGAGTGTGTGTGAGTGAGTGTGTTTGTGTGGAGGAAGGTGGTGTTGATGTGGTACTCACGATCTTGGCCACTTTGCCACATTTGCGAAGTGACTGCACAGCAAAGGAATGAGGCACGTTGTCCATCGAGATAGCGTTGACCTGAATGACCCGGTCCTTCTCACTGCACACAAGGCACAGGAGAGACAGGAGAGAGAGACAGGAGAGACAGGAGAGAGAGACAGGAGAGACAGGAGAGAGAGACAGGAGAGACAGGAGAGAGAGACAGGAGAGAGAGACAGGAGAGAGAGACAGGAGAGACAGGAGAGAGAGACAAGAGAGACAGGAGAGACAGGAGAGAGAGACAAGAGAGACAGGAGAGACAGGAGAGAGAGACAGGAGAGACAGGAGAGAGAGACAGGAGAGACAGGAGAGAGAGACAGGAGAGAGAGACAGGAGAGACAGGAGAGAGAGACAGGAGAGACAGGAGAGAGAGACAGGAGAGAGAGGAATGAGGAACAGAGAAAAGAAAGAAAAGAAAAAGACTGAGACTGTAAAATATTATCTATTAATTTCACCAAAACTTTCTCAGGTAGTAAGTTAATTGAAGCTACTGACATGGTCACCTTTTCATCCAATTAGGCACATGGTTACTAAGAATCATGGGAAACCAACTGGTACATACTTGATTCTCTAAGGTCAGGACTTGTAACGCTCAACTGGGAAATATGAAAATATTGATTACTCCAAATTGCCCGGAACACAGTATAAGTGGGCAGGGCTAAACGTTCAAACTTGAAATCAGATACTTTAGTGCCTTTAATATTTTTTCTGTTATAATCCTAGATTGCTCTGTGATGTCATGACAGCTTCAGCTCCGAACTCTGCTGTGACAGTGTGATACGTACAAGAGCAGCCCGTCCGCCGGCCCCCCCTGCAGGACATCTGACACCATGATGGAGGTCTCCCCGCTGTCCACGTTTGGGTTGTCCCGCCCTCCAGACACCGCCATGCCAAAGCCCATCTTTGGGTCCTGGAGTGGGGTGTCAAAACATGTCACACACACACATACCACACACACTTAGAGATCCCATATTACAGAAAAAAATACATGTTTGTGCTGAGATGATGATCAGCTTTGGTTTCAGTTAAACATATTGCAAACATAATACACAGAATATAGAATGAATAATGAATCTGTGTGAAATCAAATGTTTTTAAAGGGCCTGTACTGTTATTTTTATTTTAGTATTATTATTTTTTTATTATTATTATTTTTTTTTTATCACTTTATTTTTATTATATTTAACAGGTTTGTAAACATAACAAGAAAATAGAAAAAAGAGGAGAAATAATAATGACAATGGAAGGAAATAAAACAGAAACAGAAGCCTAGGTGACATTGATTATTCTACTTTTGCATATATGATGTCCATTTTTCCCATTTCTTCTTCATTTGTGCCTCTTGCAACCTCAGTCTATAAGTTATCTTTTCCATTAGATATATGTCCTTTATTGTAGATGTCCACTGATCCTTTGAAGGCACAGAAGTTGTGCCCCAGTTCCTGGTTATTGATTTTTTGGCCGCTAATGACATGACTTTGAAAAGATATATATCGCCTTGGTGGATAATGTTTTCTGAGAAGTTGCATAGATAGACCAGTTCAGGCGACAAAGGGACAGGATATCCCAGCACCTGCCCCAGTACATCACAAACCATCTCCCAAAATACAGTAATATTTGCACAATTCCAAAATATATGAGAATGGTCTACATTAATCTCTCCACATTTCCGCCAACACATTTGATGTATCCTTAACTGCTTACTCTTTAATTTAGGTGTAATAAAGAATCAAATCAGGTTCTTCCAGGCAAACTCCCTCCATGTTCGAGAGCAGGTGGTGGTGTGGTGATGCCGCCACATGTTTAACCAATCTTTATCTTTATCCCCTTCACTATTAGAGTTGTGTTCTTATCGTTTTTAGTTAGGGCTTTATATAATGCTGAAATTATTCTAAGATTATCATCTTTATAGGCTTTAGTTATTGTTTGAATGACATCACTCTCTTCCATGGAGGGGATCACCTGTATTTCCCTTCTATGATAGTCTCTCATTTGAAGGTACCTGAAGAAATCATGTTTTCCAAGTTGATATTGCTTTGTCAAGTTCTGAAAGCTCTCCAGCTGCCCATTTTTCTCCAATACACACCAGGCAGTCATCCCTTTTGTTGTCCAGTATTTATAATTTTTGTCATATTTGGCTGGCATGAACTGACTATCATATGCCATCCATTTTAATTTTTTTGCATGGTTTTGAATCTTGTGCTTTCTAAGTATTTTGAACCATATAGTTAATGTATGATTTGTTATGGGATCTAGGTATAATTTCTATTCTTCATATAACTCTTTATCTCCAATCATATTCTGAATTGGACCCTCCAGACTACTACTTTCAATATCCTTCCATTTTCCACTGTAATATGGATTACACCAGCAGTGCAGGTATCTTAATTGTGAGGCATAATAATATTCTTCCAACTTGGGTAAGCCCATCCCACCCTTTTCTTTGGGCAGCTGGAGAGTCTCATATCGCACTCTGGGTCTCTTGTTGTCCCAAATGAACCTAGAAACAATCTTATTCCAAATTGTGAATTGTGTATTAGTGACCCGTACTGGTAGAGCTTGGAATAAAAATAAAAACCTGGGCAAGATGTTCATTTTTACAATATCAATTCTAGAGCTAAAATCTAAAGGAAGGGTAGACCATCTTTCAATATCTTTCTGTATTCTTTCCTGTACTTGTGAATAATTCTTAGAATTTACTTCTAGAAAATCTGTTGTTATTTCAACCCCTAAATATTTAATGGATTGCATTTCCCAGTTAAATTTCAAGGTTTTTTTTATATTCTGGGAGGGAACATAATTGAATTTTAAAATTTGAGTTTTTGAGATATTTATTTTATAGCCAGACAAATATTCAAATGTGTCTAATAGGGTCATCAGTTCTGGGAGAGATTGATCCGGTTGCTCGAGGTAAGCAATGATATCGTCAGCAAAAAGTCCAATTTTATGTTCAACTCCATTTATTGTGACTCCTTTAATTTCAGGGTTTTACCTTACCGCCTGTGCCAGGGGTTCGATAACGATAGCAAACAGGGATGGAGAGAGCCCACATCCCTGTCTTGTTGACCAGCTGAATTTTTCCTGTCATATTTCCATTTATTTTAATTCTTGCTGTAGGTTGAGAATATAATGTTTTTATAATGTCTACAGATTTGGTATTGAAGCCCATTCTTTCCAGAGTCAAGTACAGAAAATTCCAATTGACTGAGTCAAAGGCCTTCTGCGCGTCTATGCTCGATTTTGTCTTTGGGCTCTCTCCGTTATATGCAGGGTTCTCCTGATGTTGTCATGTGTCTGCCGTCTCTGTATGAACCCTGTCTGGTCTTCATCAATTAGATCAGACAGAAATGTGTTTAATCTTTTAGATATTACAGATGTATATATTTTATAGTCTATGTTTAACACTGAAATAGGTCTATAATTAGCACAGGTTTGTTTGTTTTTGCCTGGTTTTAAAATAACTGATATTATTGCTTCTGACCATGAAGCTGGTAATTTATTTTCTTTTAGTGTCCAATTTAATGAATTATGTAAGATCGGTATCAGTTCATTTTTAAATACTTTGTACCATTCAGCTGGGAAACCGTCACTACCAGGTGATTTACTCTTCTTTAGGGAGCCTATGGCGCCAAGTATTTCTTCTCTTGTGATCTCTGCTGTTAACGTGTTATTTTGACTTAAACCAATTGATGGGAGATCCATTTGTTGAAGAAAATTTCTCTTACATTCTTCACTTGCTGAAGGAGGCTGTGAATACAGTTTTTTGTAAAAATTTGTAAAAATTCTTTCAATATCTTCAGGTTTTTTAAGTAATCTGTTGTTCTCTGGATCTTTAATTTCGTAAATTGTATTTAATGCTTGCTGTTTTTTAATTCTTTTGGCTAATAGTTTGGTAGATCTAGGTCCCATTTCGTAGTAACTTTGTTTAAAATAGATATGTTTTCTCTCCATTTCTTCTATTAATATATTGTTAATTAGTTTTTTGTGTCTTGGATCTGTTGACAGATTTCCATTGTTTTTGTTTTTACAAATTGTTCTTCGAGTTCTTTAAGTCTTCCACAACATTCTTCATACCTTTCTATTTTACTTTTCTTCAACCATGCTGTTTTAGCTATTAGCTTTCCCCGAATAACTGCTTTCAGGGCATCCCACACCACTGTTGGGTCTACCTCTCCGTTATCATTCTCTTCTATGTATTGTTGTATTTCCTTTTTTATGTCTTTCACAATTTCGTTGTTATTCAGAATGCCCACATTCATTCTCCATAAGGTCTGTTTTTTTCTATTCGAGATGTTATTATTATTATTATTATTTTTATTTATTTTTTATTTTTTTGTTAAAATAAATTCTTTTTACATTATGCAGTGTGTGATTAAAGCTGTCAAAAAAGAAAAAGACAGAGACTGTAAAATATCATCTATTAATTTCACCTAAACTTTCTCAGGTAATAAGCTACTGACATGGTCAACTTTTCATCCAATTAAAATGTTGTTACTTCATAAAAACATACCTGGAGTTGTGTTTTGTTTCTTTCCTGTTTGAGTAATCCTGTAATCTAAAAAGCTCAAAATGCTCAGCTCCACCTTGTGATGTCATGTAGTGGTAGTGGTGGTGGTAATAGTTAACAGTTACCTTTCTAGTGAAGGTGTGTGGAGTGGAGCACTTCCTGTATTACCAGGGTTTTCTCTTTTAGAAAAAAAACTCAGCCTAATTATGCAGATTTGTGTGTTAAACCTGTAAATGAAACAAAACACAACTCAACTGTTTTCATCTATAGATTTAAATGGGAAATTGTCCATGTAAAGTCTGTTTAATCAAAGACAAGTTGTCAGCTGGACAGTCGGCTAGAAGTTGGACAGTAGAAGGACATTAAATGGACATTTGGACAGGTGGAGTGAGAGGTGGACATATATTGAATGGACAGATAAACATGTTGGCAGACAGACGTAAAGGAGACGGGCAGGTAAAGTATTCCACCTGTGTGGATACTTTAGTGTGGAGCAACCAATGTATAGAGTGGGGAAAGGACCCCATGCTGTTTGGTTAGTCAATAAAAGCCAATTGAGGCCAGCAGTTATAGCATCTATTATGCAACCATTTTGTAATTGGAATTCTGAGGGACAGCTGTAAATCGAACACGTTGCTAATGCTACCTGGAGCAGACCTGTGGGAAAGAAAGCATCTGACAGGTCATTATTATATTGTTATTGTTGTATCTTGATATCGAAAAAGAAGCAAAATTAAAACACCAAGATCATGTAAAAAGGTTAAAATGAACATTTGGAAGAGAGGATATTATGAAAAATCGACTCTTCAGAGATTTCAAACGACATTATAATGTTGTGCTCTCATCAAAAACATGCCTGAGGAGCTTTGAGAACTTATCCATGCATGTTTGACTAATCGAGCTCCTGGGCCTTAGTCAAACTCTCCTCACAAAGCGGTACAAGGCTCCGCCTACAAGCTCCCACACGGCCATTTTTCAAAAATATACAAAAACATTATGCAAAACAACACACTACACTTTGAAAACCCTGAGGTGATGTGCAGAACTTTCATTAGCACGATACACACTTACTGTGTTGTGATAGCGCTCTGAAGGGGAAGTCACTCAAAAACAAAAGTGAAACTCATAAAACATGTTAATATGTTGTTTTGGGCGAATATAGCGTTCAAAATAATACAAGTTAACATCACTTACAGTCTATGGCAGCAAGCTAAAGCTGTGGAGTTCTGTGTTTTTGTGTCTGCCAAGCTGAGCCCATTTTAAGTCACAAATTCATGTTGTTATCAGTGGCTGACATTTAAAAAAAAAAAAAAAAAAGGCAAAAATATGATGCTTTGTTTCCACACATGCTCAGGCTAATGTTCCCATGGGAAACTTTCTGTCCCTTTTCATTAGTCGGGAGTGACTCATGAAAATACACCATAAATAATATTGAACTGATGGAGAGATGGAGAGTTGAGGAACATTTGGACAGTGGATGTGGAGAGAGAAAGTAACAGGACAGTATCTGGAAAGTTTGACTGTGTAAGGACAGGACAGCAGTTGGACATTTGGACAGAGACAAACAGGTGAACACATGTGGTAGAATTTTAGATAAAGGGACCGTAAATGGACAGTGGGTGGACAGTAGATGCACAGGGGTAGTAGATGGACAGGTGGACAGTAGAAGATCTAGGGATGTACAGTTCTACAGGATCTAGTGGATGGGATATCGGCTTCCACATCAGTTTTCAATTACAGGCCCTGATTGGGCCTATAATAAACATAAACTATAACAAATAATAAACTATAAACTGGTCACAATCGGTCAGGAAAATCTCAGAATGTCAGAACATCTGTTTACACAAAGCTGTTCTGTACTTACATGAGTAAGTAATAGTAAGTAAATTACAGCTTCTTATTACATCAGTTGGATCAGTTGTGATTTTCTTTGTTTTGTTTTGTTTATTTTTATTTTTTTAAAGGACATAAAGGGCTGTTCTAAATCACTGCACTGTTATCGATTCATATCAGGTATCGGAATTGAAAAAAAAAACTGGTTTGGGGAAACTCTAAGATGGACAGTTTGACAGTGATTGGACAGTAGAGGGGCAGCAGTTGGACATGTGGACACATGTGTAGTAGAGTTCTAGCTTGAGGAACAGTGGTTGGAGAGTAGACAGTAGATGGACAGGTGGACAGTAGATGGACAGGTGGACAGTAGATGGACAGGTGGACAGCAGATGGACAGGTGGACAGCAGATGGACAGTAGATGGACAGTAGATTCTGTCTTACCCGCTGCAGAGTGACTGTGTACTGTTCCCACACTGTCTCCTCCATGGCTGAGCCCTGAGGAGACACAAAGAGGAGAGGTCAGCAACGTGTCCATCACTAGTGTCCATCAGACCTCTGTTGGACAGCCTTGTGCCCTGACCCACAGCCACACACTCACTGGACACACTCCTCGAGCATCAGGGTCAGGGCACAACTACTAGGAAAAAACTATTTGGAGTTTCTCGGACAGAGATTGCAACAGTTAAAGCTTTTATGTTAAAGTCCATATTCTGTTGAGATACATTTTAAAAACACCCAGGAGCAGGAATGGCCCATGTTAGCAGAATGTGTCCTGCCCTCATAGATATATTGTATAAGCAGCGCTCAAGGTCCACTGTGTACTGTCAGCGACTAATTATAAAGCATTTTATTGTCCAAGAATCGGGAGGTTGGGCATAAGCTTGACGGCAAAACTCAGCTCTGGTGTCTGAGAGTTGTGAAAAGCACTTCTAAACTCATTATGGTGAGTCATTAGGATGCTCTGAGTGCATAGGGTCAGTGAGGAAGAACTGTGGACAACTGCAAATTGTTTCAAAAGTTCTGTTTTTCAGGATTTTAAGACAGTGCCTTTACATCCGAGACAAGACTGAAATCTGAAGTGCTCAACTAATGTAAGCATCTCATCCATTTCAGAACAAGTTTGTAAATGAAATGAGTCACTTAAAGAGCCCAAATGACGCTATTTTCTGATCTGTGTTATAATGTTTCCTACCTGGAGTTGTGTTTTTTCACACATTTAACACACAAACCTTAGACTGAGTTCTTCTCTCAAACACCTTTTGATGTCATGTGGTAATACAGGGAGTGCTCTTCTAATCTCTCTGCTAATAATACAGGATTACTCAACAACACTGATGACGCAACAACATTCTGGCTTAAAGCTCACAAGAGTCATGGTGTGTAATACAGGAGGGTCCGGTCAAGTGGTAAGGGAGGGAAACAGGAGCAGATTTTTGACATTCAAATGTCTCTTATTCAGAAACTAGAGGGACTATTGAAATAAGTAAAGTATCAGAATGTAGGAAAGAGTTACACTCCAACAGGGTCAAGTTCAACCTGTGATATTCTTTCAAGTTGTTGACAAAAAATGTAAAAACTCATGTCAGTAACGGAGGGAATGAAATATGCAGCACTTTTTGGGCAATAAATCCAAACAGTGATAACTCTTGGTTCTCACTTACATATCCTTAACAAACTGGTTTGAATATTTGCTTCATATAGTTTTCTACCATATGGTACAAGATTAGGTTGAAAAACCTCTTACTTTTTGTGTCATGAGATTTTTTATTAAGAAAGGTCATGGTAACGGAGGGAAAAGTCACGGAGGGAAAATTGTGCAAACAAGTAGAAGGTGCAGGATTTTACATCATTTGTCATTTTTTTTTCTTCCAAGCAAATTTTTATCATTTTAAATACTTTTTTTTTGAAAAATCATGTCCCTTCATCAACAGTTCAAAGATGGAATAACACAAGATATGATGAAATACATCCATTTATTGACAGGATTTGCAGGTCTTTGAAATTTGGGAAATAATTTTTGTTCCATGTTTCATACATGGTCTGTTTAAAACGTATGGAACTTTAGAACCAAATATGGTACAGAAAAAAGGTCAACAGTTTCATAAACTAGAGTACATATGTATCTGTTCAATACATTTTTATATCAGATGAATTAACTTGAATTTTTGGCCTTGATGTTTACTTCTGCTTGACTGGGCCCAGGACCTTTAAATCATTGCCGTCTTTGTGATATGCAACAATCCTTCATCTTTAGTTAAAATAACTAAAGTTCCACTCAAGAGAATCAGTCCCTGCAAAATTACTGTCAAAGTCATAAAACTATTGTCATTGTCTACACAATGATATATGAAATGATGTATGAAAATATGAAAATATGACATGTTACTCACTATACAGCTGTTTAAGGTCCTATATTAAGTCAATCTGACTCTTGTGAACTTTAAGCCATGTTAGAATGTTGTTACCTTCTCAACAAGTTACCTTCTCACACGTTTCAGTAATCCTAGATTCTACATCTGTCTACATCTCCAAAGCCCAGAATGCTGTTCCACCTTGAGATGTCATGAAGTGGTAGTTTTCAAGTTGACAGCTCCTTTTTAAATAATGTAATACAGGACCTTTAAGGTAACCCATAGACAAAACCAGATGGGCATGATTGACACGTGGACCAGCCAATCAGGGACATGCACAGCTGCTTACAAACATGGTTGCTTATGACGACCAACGACGAGCTCCTTTGTTTAACACACATCACTGAAATAAACTGTTCAGACTGCACAGTAGTGTCTGAAAAAGGCTCAGACAGGAGGAGATGGAGGGGAAGGAGGGGACAGGCAGACCACTCAACCCCTGGGAGTAAATGTGCTGGGACGGTGGCTTAGAGGAGGAGGAGGAGGAGGGGGAGGACGAGAGGAGCTCAGAGGACTGCGACACAAGCTGACACAGTGACAGTGGGACAGCGTGCTCCTCCTGCACACTGACACCTCTGTAAGTGCTGAGTCCTGACATGAGAGCAGCTCAGTTTACATTAATGTCGACTATCTGTTAAAGGGTACAGATTACGTTACTTTGTGATCTGTGCTATCATGTCGTTTCCTCGTTTTAAGTATATCTGGAGTTATGTTTTGTTTCATTCACACATGATTGAGTAACTCCTTATTATTATTTTGACTACATGTCACACTCTGTTTCACCTTGTCATGAAGCTGTAGTTTTCAGGGTAATTGTTCCTTTTTTTCCGAATGACTCTGGTGAAGGTGTGTGGGCTATAAAAACACAGTGGAGCACTTCCTGTATGACCACATGACATCACAAGGTGTAACAGTGTTTTCTGTTTGAGAGAACTCTAAATCTGCAGGGTTTGTGTGTTAAACATGTATGAATGAAACAAAACACAGCTCCAGGTCTGTTTGTGACTATGTTTCTATATTACATTAACATAGATCAGGAAATAATAACAATATATAATAATATAAAGATAAACTGCAAATCTAATCACAATTTCTTTCCAAAACCATGTTGTCCTAATTTCATCTTTTAAAAGTATGTGTCCAGTGTTGGGGAGTAACAGATTACATGTACTGGAGTTATGTAATCAGAGTACAAATTATAAGAAACTGTATTTGGTTACAGTTACTGTTTCAATGAGTGGTAAATGGATTACAGTTACTTTGTTGAAGTAAATGGATTACATAGCGGGATTTTCCTGTTTTCACATTTCGGGCTATATCCCCCTTTTTTTTTTTTTTTTTTGGTAATTCCACTCACTGCCGGACACTAAACCAGGTCTAAACTAGATCTAAACCAGGACTAAACCAGGATTAAACCAGGACTAAAACCAGGACTAAACCAGGACTAAAACCAGGTCTAAACCAGAACTAAAACCAGGACTAAGACCAGGTCTAAACCAGGTCTAAACCAGGTCTAACCCAGGACTAAAACCAGCACTAAACCAGGTCTAAACTAGGTCTAAACCAAGACTAAACCAGGACTAAACCAGGATTAAACCATGTCTAAACCAGGACTAAAACCAGGACTAAGACCAGGTCTAAACCAGGTCTAAACCAAGACTAAAACCAGGACTAAACCAGGTTTAAAACCAGGTCTAAAACAGGACCAAAACAGGATTTAACAGGACTAAATCATGCTGTGTGGACCGTGTTTCCTCCTCTTCTATCAATAATATTTTTAATACGGTTCAGTAAAGTCTGGGCTTTTTATTTTCTTTTATCAGATAAAACATCTTATGTTACAATATCCTCATCTTTGCTCCTCTACAGCAAATAAAGTAATCCAAAGTATTCAGATTACATTACTCACTTTAAGTAATTTAATGGATTACGTTACAAATTACATTTTGGTGTGTGTAATCTGTAATTTGTAGGGGAATACATTTTAAAAGTCACCTTCCCAACACTGTCTGTGTGTCTATAGCAGTAAGAGTCATGGTCCAGTGGAGCATGGAGCAGGTCTGTCAACGCACAGTCCACTGTGACCTCATGACGGGACAAGAGGACGACAGTGCCAGGGCTCGATCCCCAGGCAGGCCTGGACCACCCACTCACCCGGGCACACAGCGGGCACACAGCTCAGAGTTGTGCGTGTGTGTGTGTGTGACTGTAGGCTCTGTGTGCTGAGAGTTTAGGAGTACTGTGTGTGATACTGTGTGAATCCCCCTTTATAAACGGGCTTATAATGCGCCTTTTGTACAGCTGAATTCATCTTTGTTCATTTAAAATAATGTGGACTCAGCAGTGCGTTCTGTGCATACAATAATATGACTGTGTATAGTACAGTTAAATAGCTGCCACTCACGTCAACGGTTTGTCATGTAAAAGGGAAAAGTGACCTTTTTTTTAAGTTAATTGGGTAAAATTCTTATAGTATCAATCAAATGACTAATTATTGTGTCTCAGTGGCGTGTGGTTAGGGCAATCAAGGCAAGCAGTGGTTGACCAATAAAATCTAAAATGATCGTGTGTCAAAAGTATAATTAAATAGTTTGGAATTATATCAAAATAATCCTGTTTTTCCTTCACTTCTGCCCGTTTGAAACATGGTTGTATTGGTGGTGTCCTTTAGCACATCCTTCTGGTCACTGAGCAAACTACAACAACCGCAGTCCTGAACGTCACATTAACTTTCTGCGGCGGTCTAGAGTACAGGTCACGAGCACGGCTTATATTCCATTCTTTCTGCATGCGCTCTTCCAACTGCAGGTCCGCCGGTTGTTTTAGAGTTTTGCACAGGTGTACTGAGGACCACAGCCGGCTCAAACAGCACTGAATAAACCCAAATCATCATCCAAGGGAACCGGAGATGTGCGGCGATTCCACGTGAGTGCGAATGTGCAGCAGGAGACGACGACAGCAGCGTAAACTTTCAACACAAGTGTCTAAAATTAACCTGCTTTTAGCGACAAGTCACTCTTCATAGTTTTTGTGTTCGTAATGATTAGATGTTAGGTCAGAAATACAGACCGTCACTTAATCAAA